ACGAGTAGAGGAAGACACCTACTACCACCAAAAAGTCATCCGACCCTAAAATCCAAAACAATAAAAAAGTCCCCAAAAAAATTCAATTTTTCTTAGGCACACTATTTTATTGCAATTTCTTGCACAAAATACACCTAAAAGTGTAGAAAAAAATTGACAGCCGAATACGAGTAGAGGAAGACACCTATTACTACCAAAAAGTCATCCGACCCTAAAATCCAAAATCATAAAAAAGTCCCCAAAAAAATTCAATTTTTCTTAGGCAGACTATTTTATTGCAATTTCTTGCACAAAATACACCTAAAAGTGTAGAAAAAAATTGACAGCCGAATACGAGTAGAGGAAGACACCTACTACCACCAAAAAGTCATCCGACCCTAAAATCCAAAACAATAAAAAAGTCCCCAAAAAAATTCAATTTTTCTTAGGCACACTATTTTATTGCAATTTCTTGCACAAAATACACCTAAAAGTGTAGAAAAAAATTGACAGCCGAATACGAGTAGAGGAAGACACCTATTACTACCAAAAAGTCATCCGACCCTAAAATCCAAAATCATAAAAAAGTCCCCAAAAAAATTCAATTTTTCTTAGGCAGACTATTTTATTGCAATTTCTTGCACAAAATACACCTAAAAGTGTAAAAAAAAATTGACAGCCGAATACGAGTAGAGGAAGACACCTACTACCACCAAAAAGTCATCCGACCCTAAAATCCAAAATCATAAAAAAGTCCCCAAAAAAATTCAATTTTTCTTAGGCAGACTGTTTTATTGCAATTTCTTGCACAAAATACACCTAAAAGTGTAGAAAAAAATTGACAGCCGAATACGAGTAGAGGAAGACACCTACTACCACCAAAAAGTCATCCGACCCTAAAATCCAAAATCATAAAAAAGTCCCCAAAAAAATTTAATTTTTCTTAGGCAGACTATTTTATTGCAATTTCTTGCACAAAATACACCTAAAAGTGTAGAAAAAAATTGACAGCCGAATACGAGTAGAGGAAGACACCTACTACCACCAAAAAGTCATCCGACCCTAAAATCCAAAATCATAAAAAAGTCCCCAAAAAAATTCAATTTTTCTTAGGCAGACTATTTTATTGCAATTTCTTGCACAAAATACACCTAAAAGTGTAGAAAAAAATTGACAGCCGAATACGAGTAGAGGAAGACACCTATTACTACCAAAAAGTCATCCGACCCTAAAATCCAAAATCATAAAAAAGTCCCCAAAAAAATTCAATTTTTCTTAGGCAGACTGTTTTATTGCAATTTCTTGCACAAAATACACCTAAAAGTGTAGAAAAAAATTGACAGCCGAATACGAGTAGAGGAAGACACCTACTACCACCAAAAAGTCATCCGACCCTAAAATCCAAAATCATAAAAAAGTCCCCAAAAAAATTCAATTTTTCTTAGGCAGACTATTTTATTGCAATTTCTTGCACAAAATACACCTAAAAGTGTAGAAAAAAATTGACAGCCGAATACGAGTAGAGGAAGACACCTATTACCACCAAAAAGTCAACCACAATTACAAAAAAAAATTTTATCACCATTTTTATTAAATCTGAAATAGTTTTTTGTGCAAGAAAAAAAATGTCCAATTATAAAAATTAGAGGGAATTAACATCAATTTTTTGTGAATTAAAAAAGTTAAGAATTTTGTAATATTCTCTTATTTGTTGAAATAGGAAAAAAAAATTGTAATGGCGGATTTTTTGTTTTAATTAAATAAACAACATTTTTCTGGTGCATTCTAGTATATTTTTTTTGCATGTAAGAGAAAAACATCTCCTATTCCATATACATATTAATATAATAATAATAATAATAATAATAATAATAATAATAATATATTTATTTATATATAACTGATTAAAAATACAGGATTTTACCAGCGAAAATTTCATTTTTTTTCTTCTCTCTTTCTTTCGCTTTAAAAAAAAAAACTTCTCTCTTTTGTCAAGTCGAGAGAAAATAAAACGATGATGATACTATTGGTACAATTTCTTAAAGCGATAAATATATATTTATATATTTATATATCATTATATTAATATAATTAATTCTTCCATTATCACTTTATATATATATATGTATATATATAGAAATTTTTTTTTAACATATTACACTATTTACAAATAATTTTCTTTCCATTTTCTTTTTTTTGTAAAAGAAAAAAAAACAAATTTTTTTTCTTTTCTCTCTCTTTTTGAAAAAAAATTCCCATTTTTGAAATTTTTATCTCGACGATTTTTTTTTTTTTCTTTTACAGAAAATACATTTAAATATTGGAATATATATATATATATATATATATATATTTTTTTTTTTAACGGGAAAATGGTGATTTTTTTTCGCAATTTTTTAAGAACGATAGAACGTTTCAATTCTTTTTTTTTTTTTTTTTTTTTTTAATATAGAGAAAATATCGTGGCCCATTTTCATAATAATTATTTTATTATTAAGACGAAAAAACGGCAATTACGATCACAGCGTTTTCAATATATTCTTAATTTATTTAATAATTACTAGACTTTGCAAAATTGATTTTTACAGCTTTTTTTTCTTCTAATTTTTTTTTTTATTTTTTATTTGAATTACTCGTTATTGTTCCGTGTTTACATTTACTCAATAGAATATATGATAAGGCCTCGGGCATTTCACTACTTTTACATTGTGTCAGTCTCGAATATTTTCGATATTTTTGTCACTCTCCTAATTTAAAATTGAAAAAAAAATATTTTTTTTTTTTTTAATAAGGAAAACATTTTTATTTATTTCCTTTGGCGAAATTTACACAAAAATTTCATCAAATGTTTCGTATATTCAACAAAAAAAATGAAAAGAAAGAAAATAAATAAATAATAAATAAATAAAACAGAAATAAAAAAAATGTTTTTTTATTGAAAAAAAAAAATAATAAATTAGGAAAATATTCGAGGCTGTAAACTAGAATTTGTCGGAAAAAAAATTTATTTATAATTATAAAAATGCGATTTAAATAACATTATATTATTAATTTAATTGTTTTTTTTATAAACTAACGCATTAATAATAATTAGCAAGATATCTATTGTTGCATTTTTTTTTTCTATATATTGAAGGGGTGTAAAGGGGCATTGTGCAATTCTAATTCTGCGAGCAACTACTTTAATTAATTAATTAATTATATAATTAATTAACCATTAAATCAAAAAACAAGAAAATATTTTTTAATAATAATTATTGCAAATGAGACAGCGGCAGATATTTTTCAATTAGTGATTGATTTTTTTTTTTACTGAAAAAAAAATGAAAAAAAAGAAAACAAAAAAAAACAAGTCTCCAGTTCGGCTAAAACTTTATTTATAATTAATTGCATTAATTAACTTTCATTTAGTTTTTAAATTAAACTTTTTACAAAACAAAAAATGAACAGTTAACTTTATTTTTAATTAACAAAAATTGTTTAGTAAAAAAAAAAAAAAAAAAAAAAAAAAAAAAAAAATTAAAATTAAATTAAAAAAAAATAAATTATTTCTATTTTGATTTTTTTCTTGTCTTGCTTTGCATATGACAAAAAAAATAATTTATACAAATTAATTTTATTAAAAAAATATTACCAAAAATTATATTGGTAAAATGAAAAAAAAAAATTTGTAAAAATCGGTAAAAATATTCAAACTGGTTTCTTATAATTGGTATAAAGTGTTACTAAAAATAATATATATATATATATAATTAAATAAAAAAAATTTTTTTTTAAATTTCTTTTCTCGTAATTGGCACAAAAAAAAATTCATAAATATTTTTTTTTTCGTATAAAATTTTTAAAATAATATATTTTTATTCTTAGGAAATTTTAATTTTTAAACAAAATGAAAATTTTGTCCCTTTAGAATTTTTTGAATTTCTTTTTTTTTTACAATAAATTTTTTGTTTAATTTTTTAAAAAGTAAAAAATCTAAATTTTCAATCTTTGGAAGATTAAAAATTTTTTTTGCGAGAATTTTGGGGATTTTTATTTTCTATTTGTTTTTAAATATTTTCTTATTTAAAAATATTGGTGTATTTTTTATTTTATTTTATTTTTTTTTTTTTTTTGTAAAATATTTAATTTTTTTGTAATATAATTTTTTTCAAAAACGAATGATAATTTTATACTTTTTATATTTATGTAAAATAAATGTAATTTTTCATTAAATATTCATATTTTGGAAAATATTTTGAAAAAAAAACCTGTTTAAATATTTTTTTTGAAAATATATTTAAATTTTTCCGAAAATATTTCCATTTTGAAAATTATATTTATATTTTTATTAATATTTTTTACTAAATATCAGTATTTACTGAATATTAATTATTTTTTTATTTTATTTATTAATTAATAATATATTTATTATTATTAAAATTTATTTATTTTAATATCAAAATACAATTACAATTTTTTTTTATTCAAAAATATATTCAAAATTATTCAATAATTTCAAAATTAATTTTTTAATTTCTCAGAAAAAATTACACTGAATTTTTTTCCAATTTACAATTTTTTTAAAAATCCCAAAATTCTCCAAAAAAAAAAAAAAAATTATCGAATTTTCGAAAAATATTTCGAAAAAAAGTCAAAATTGATATTAAAAATCAAAATCAATTAAAATTGTATACAAAATATTCAAAAAAAAATCTCCCCCCCCAAAAAAAGTACCATATATACCAAAAATAAAAAAAAAAAATTATTTTGGTAAATTAAAAAAAAAAGTAAAAAAAATAATTTACTACAAAATAGAATTGTAAAAAAAATTAAAACTAAAATCGTTTTTTCTTTTGGTGACAAAAAAAAAAAAAAAAAATATCAAATAAATAAAAAAAAAATAATAATAATAAACAAAATTTCGAAAAATTTTGATAAACAAATTTTTTCTTGATCGATTTTTGAAAAGAAATATAAATTTTTTTTTTTGAAAAATTCAAAGTCAAAGATATTTTTTTTTTTTTTGAGCACGTAAGTTTGAATTTTTTTTTTTTTTCTACGTTGCGACAAGTTAATGTAAATTCAATCATTATATATATATAAAAAAAAAATAATAATAATTAAATCAGTTGTGACTATTTACAAAAAAGAAAAAATTGTGCCATTTAAGGAGAGGTTTTTAAAAAAAAATTTTTTTTCATATTTATGATGGTTACGAAAAAAAAAATAATAATAATAATCTCCTGAAATGTCACTAATATGATATTATTATTATTAATAATAATAATAATAATAATAAAAAAAATGACAAAAAAATGAAAATAAAAATATTAGTAATGAAAATAGAAATAAAAATAAAAATAATAATAATAATAATAATAATAGATTATATACAACTAGACAGTCTATCTAGAAATTAAGAAAAAAAATCTCAATTACGATTCCGCCTCATTCCTTTGGATTTCCAATGTTTTTTTCCCTTGAATATCATTTTCAACATTTTCAATTTTCTCCTGTGAATTTTCTCTAATTTTCTCATTCTCCAATGTTGATTGATTTTCTCCTCTTGTTTTTTCTCTTTTTTCAATTAATAAATTTTCATCAATTTTTAAATTTTCCTTGAAATTTTTTGTTTCATTATTTTTAATTTCACATAAATTTTCCCTCATCACTAATCGTTTATCATTTGTTTGCAATTCATGTGAATCATTCAATAATTGTTGTGATTGTTCCAAATTTGTCGACGACGACGACGATGATGATTGACATAATTCTTTTATTAATTGATTATCATTTTTAGATTGATAATTTTCTTTTGATAATTGTTTCATTGACAATTGACAATTATCAATTTTTAATTCTTTTGAACATTGCAATTTATCATTTAATGTTTCTTTTAATGATAAATCTTTTGATGATGACGATTCTATTGTTAATTGTTGTAATGATGATTCTTTTATTAATGTAGATGAAGAATTTTTTAATGATTGACAAATTTCATGTTGAGAATATTTTTTAAACTCCTTACTAGACGATAATTGATTTTCATTTGATAATTGTGATGAATTATCGCCTTTCGATGCTTGCATAACGGATTTTAATGATTCTTGTAAATCAATTAAAATTTGTATTGTCTCTTGTGTTGAGTCTTTTGTATCTTTTGTTGATGAATTTTTTGAAATTTGCTCCTTTAATGGTGAATTAGTTAGATATTTTAGTGATGAATTTTTGGAATTTTGATCATTTAGAGAGGAATTTTTTGATGTTAAATCCTTTAATGCCGGATTTTTTGATGATAAATCCTTTAATGATTCTTGTAAATCAATTAAAATTTGAATTGTATCTTGTTGTGAATCTTTTGTCTCCTTTAAAGATAAAGAATCATTTGATGATGAATTAATCGTTGAATCCTTTAATGAGGGATTTTTTGATGCTAAATCCTTTAAAGACGAATTTTTTAATGTCAATTCTGAATTTTTCGCTGAAAAATCTTTTAGTCCACCATCATCGCGTAAATTCCCCGAACGCATCGCTTGTTTCTTTTCTTTCTCCTCCTCTTCCTCCTTTTCTAAATCGATAATATCGCCATTAACTTTTTTATCAATATCGATTCTCAATTTTTCTCCATCTTTGCATAAATTGAAAATTTTCTCCTTTGGAATTTCGGATGACGAAGAAGAAGAAGAAGAAGAAACCACTTCGTGATTTTTAAGATTAAAATTCTGTCCACTTGATGCTGGAATTCTTTGAATTGCTGGCGGTGGATTTTGTGGAACCGAAGAAGAAGAAGATGATGATGAAGAAGATGAAGGTGGTGGTTGAGGTTGAGGATTATTATAACCGCTTGTTTGTGGAATATAACTTGTTCTTTGATATAATTTATTTATTGACGGTGGTAAACTGCTGTGAAAGGCACTTGGTGGCGGTATACCAATTGGCGATCGAATTAATGGATTTGGAAAGCGGCTTGTATCAGGGAATGGCGGTGGGAAATGTGAATAAATTAAACGTGGATTTGTATTTGGCGTTGGCGATGGTATAAATGGATTTGTTGATAGCATATTAACTGGTGAATTACGTGGTGATATTGGTGAACCACCACTATTACGACATAATTCCCTTGTGAATGGTGAATTTTGATAGGAGCGTGCATTTGGTGAATAGGGAGGCGGTGATACTATTGGTGAATTACTCGTTGAGACAATTGGCGATAATGTTTTTGGATCAATTTTCATCATCATCATTGAATTTCCAGTGAGATTGCCCTTTACCTATAAAGAGAAAATTTGATATTATCAAAAAATTTAATTCTAAATTTTTAAATAAATTTTAATCCCCCATCCCCCCCCCCGGCACCCAGATTCAAAAGTACCAACTAAAAAAAAATTCTAACTACAGCCCTGGGTCTGTAACTGTCATAACGGAATTCTAAATCTGTTTAGTTATTATTTGTATCACTGAATTTTAAAGAATTCTATTATATTTACTCAATTTTTCATTAAACAAAATAGTAATTTTAGTGAATTTTTATTCTACGAAATGAAAAAAAACACAAAAAAAAAAATTTCTTTCATAGATGTATTTAAATTTTAAAGAATTGATAAAACGCTGAATTTTTTACCAAAAATAAAAATAAACGAACAAACAAAGGACAGAAAAATTTTGCGATGAATTTTAAAATTGACGAATTATAATTTCTTTAATAAATACTGATTAGTTAATTTAAAAAAAAAAAACAATGGAAAAATTTTTCTATCAATTGAGTGATATTGGTAATTTGTAATTTCTTTTTTATTCGAATTTTTTATTTAATAGAATAGCCATTTAAATAGCAAAAAACATAATTACCAAATTTCATAATTATCCGGTAATTTATTTAGAAATTATAAACGTTTTTTGAATTTTTTTTTTTTTTTTGGGTCATTCCGTAATAATTTTACGTTTTTTTTTTTTTTTCTAAATTAGAGTTTTTCGCATTAAAAGGCTGTGATTTATAGCAAAGAACATAATTACCAAATTTCATAACGATCCGATAATTCGTTTAGAAGTTATAAGTGTTTTTTGGATTTTTTTGGGGTCATTCCGTAATAATTTTACGTTTTTTTTCTAAATTTGTATTTTTTCACCTTTATAAGGTGTCACTCATAGCAAATATAACAATTTTCAAGTTTTATAACGATTCGTTAATTTATTAAGAAGTTATAAGCGTTTTTTGGATTTTTTTGGGGTCATTCCGTAATAATTATATTTTTTTTTCTAAATTTGTATTTTTCGCCTTTAAAGGGTGTCATTTACTTTTTTTCAAAAAATCATTCCCAGGTTTCATAAGCATCCGGTAATTTGTTTAGAAATTATAACCGTTTTTTGAATTTTTTTTTTTGGGTAATTCCGTAATAATTTTACGTTTTTTTTCCCTAAATTAAAGTTTTTCGCATTAAAAGGCTGTGATTTATAGCAAAGAACATAATTACCAAATTTCATAACGATCCGATAATTCGTTTAGAAGTTATAAGTGTTTTTTTGGATTTTTTTTTGGGTCATTCCGTTATGATTAATTGTTTTTTTCCCTAAATTTGTATTTTTTCGATTTTAAAGGGTGTTACTCATAGCAAAGATAATAATTTTTAAGTTTTATAACGATCCGTTAATTTATTAAGAAATTATAAGCGTTTTTTGGATTTTTTTTGGGGTCATTCCGTAATAATTTTACGTTTTTTTTCAAAATTTGTATTTTTTCACCTTTATAAGGTGTCACTTATTTCAAACGTCACAATTTTCAAGTTTTATAACGATCCGTTAATTTATTAAGAAGTTATAAGCGTTTTTTGGATTTTTTTGGGGTCATTCCGTAATAATTTTACGTTTTTTTTCTAAATTTGTATTTTTTCCCCTTTATAAGGTGTCACTCATAGCAAAGATCATAAATTTTAAGTTTTATAATGATCCGTTAATTTTTTTAGAAGTTGTAAGCGTTTTTTGGAATTTTTTTTTGGGTCATTCCGTAATAATTTAACACTTTTTTTTTCATAAATCTGTTTTTTAATTTTTAAAAGTGTCATTTATAGTAAAGAACATAATTACCAAGTTTCACAATGATCTGGTAATTTGTTTAGAAATTATAACCGTTTTTTGGTATTTTTTTGGGGTCATTCCGTAATAAGTTTACAATTTTTTTCCTAAATCTGTATTTTTCTGACATTAAACAATGTTAAACACTGTGAAGAACATAATTAATAAGTTTTATAATGATCCGTTAATTTGTTTAAAAGTTATAACTGTTTTTTGAATTTTTTTTTGGGTCATTCCATAATAATTTAACGTTTTTTTTCTAATTTTGTATTTTTTCGTCTTTAGGGAATGTTATTTATAGCCAAAGATCATAACTTCCAAGTTTCATAACAATCTGTTAATTTTTTTAAAAGTTATAAGCGTTTTTTTGAATTTTTTTGGGGTCATTCCGTAATAATTTTAAGTTTTTTTTCCAAAATTTGTATTTTTTCACCTTTAAAAGGTGTCACTCATAGCAAAGATCATAACTTCCAAATTTCATAATAATCCGTTAATTTTGTTAGGAGTTATAACCGTTTTTTTTGAATTTTTTTTGGGTCATTCCATTATGATTAATCGCTTTTTTTCCTAAATTTGTATTTTTTCAATTTTAAAGGGTGTTACTACTAGCAAAGATCACAATTTCCAAGTATCATAATAATCCGTTAATTTTTTTAGAAGTTATAAGCGTTTTTTTGAATTTTTTTTTTTGGTGTCATTCCGTAATATATTTACAATTTTTTTTTTTCCTAAATCTGTATCTTTCTGACATTAAACAATGTTATACACTGTGAGGAACATAATTAATAAGTTTCATAATGATCCGTTAATTTGTTTAAAAGTTATAACTGTTTTTTGATTTTTTTTTTTTTTTTGGGTCATTCCATGATAATTATATCATTTCATTAAAATAAATCGTTTTTTTTCCTAAATCTGTATCTTTTTGCAATAAAAGAATATCATTTACTCTAAAAAAAAAAAAAAAATAAAATAATTACCAACTTTCATAACTATACGTTAATATCTTTAGAATCTAGAACCGATTTTTGGTTTTATTTTGGGGGGGGGGTCATTTCGTAATAATTTTACAAGTTTTTTCCGTAAATTTGTGTTTTTTTCGTTGTTAAAGGATGTACTTCATAAGAAAGAACATAATGATTAAATTTTATAACGATACGGTAATTTATTTTGGAAGTTATAAATGATTTTTTGATTTTTTTTTTTTTTTTTTGGGGTCATTCCGTAATAAGTTTACAATTTTTTTTCCTAAATTTGTCGTTTTTCACTTTTAAAATATGAAAATTGCGTAATTTTCGATTATATAAAAATTGTGTAATTCGGAAAATCGCTTTAGTGAATATTCTGCCTTTATAATTCGAACAAATAAAATTCGTCTCAATGAAAATGATATTATTATCAAAAATTCTATTAAATGAAAATTCTATTAATTAATTTTTTAGAACTTATTCATGCGTCCAAAAAAAAAAAAAAAAAAAAATGGTAATAATAATAATATTAAATAATTATATTCACCTCCTTTTCCTTTTCGTTACTAACTCCATACATTGGCTTAACTCCAGACGCTGGATTACCCAAATATCTCGGTACATTTCTCATTTTAAATATTTTCGCCGGTTTCGATAATATTGGCTTTGTACCACCCGTTGTACCATCATATTGACTTTGATTTTTCACAGCAACATAATTATTTTTCGATAATGTTGGATTCCATGATTTTGGTGGATCACGCAATGTTTTATAACCAACATGCGAATGTTTCTTTTGTTGTTGCTGCTGCTGTTGTTGTTGTTGTTGTTGTTGTAATTTCTGCACAATTCCCGTATTCATTACTTTATTATTATCCATTGTTGTTTTATTTGCATTTGGCGTATAAATTGGTACATTCGGTATATTAGGTATATGTTTTAAAAATTCTGTCGATTTTGTTATTTTCAATAAATCAGGTAAATTTCTTTGTTGCGTTATTGTTGTTGCCGTAGTACCAGCAGTTGTTGTTGTTGTTGTTGTTGTTGTTGTTGTTATTATTCCTATATTATCAGTCTTGTTTTTCTCCTTTGAATTTTCACCAATTTTTGCGCAAATATCATTTATTTTCGATCCCGATGTACCAATTTTAGCACAAATTTCATTTAAATTTGTCCCCTTTGCAATGACCTCATGTTTTCTAATATTATTCGATTTCATTAATGACATTGGTACACTTGTTATTTCAAAATCAGATTTTGAACTCGATGTTGATTGATTATAATGATTATTTTTGTCAGTTATTGAATAAATACTCATTGATGGCTGTACATTAAATTGTGTTATTTTTGTCGTTGTTGTTGTTGCTGCTGCTGTTGTTGTTGTTGTTGTTGATGGAATTTGTGTTTTTATTGATGTCGATAATTGTGAAACAGTTAATTGTGATTGATTATCATTTGGCATAACAAAACCAAAATTTGTTGCCATCATTGTTGAGGCTAAAATTTCATTTGTTTTATTATTATGAAATTGTAATTGATTTAATAAATTTTTTGGATCTGTTTTACCTAATGAATTTAATGCCTGTTGTAATGTTATTGTTGGATTATTTTTTTCATTTAATGACGACGCTGTCACATATGTGGGTATTGTATTTATTATTTTTTCTGTAATTGTGGAATTTTTTATTATTTCATTTGTATTTGAAATTAAATTTTCATTTAATAATTTTATTTCATTTTCTTTTTTCTTTATATTTATTTCAATTTTTTGTTTTTCTAAATTTTCCAATTTCAAATTATTTTTTTCATTATCGTCAATTTTTATTGTATCTTTTATATTTTTTATATTTTCTATAGTTTTTGTATTTTTCGTATTTGTCATATTTTTTGTATTTTCTATTTTTTTATTTTCTATTCTTAAATTTTCGATTTTTGTATTTTCTATACTTTTTGTATTTTCTGTACTTTTTGTATTTTCTGTTTTTGTATTTTCTGTATTTTTCCCACTTTCCATGATGTTTTCATCAATTGTGGATATTTCGAAATTTTTTCCATCTTCAACTTCTTTAAAATTTTTCACCACATTTTTCTTCAATTGCTCCAATTTTTTTGTTAATTCAACAACATTTTTCTCACTTTTTTTTATTGAAATATTAGAATTTGTTTTTAATTCCAATGAATTTTCATTAATTTTCGATTGTCCCGGTAAAAATTCATTTGTTTCCATTAATTTTTTTCCCTCCTTTTTTAATTCAGCTCGTGTTGGTGGTTTTTTTGGCAATTTTTTACCATATGTATTATTAACTTGACCGACTTTTGGTTGAAATTGTAATTTAGCGCTTAATGCATCAATTTTCGATGCTAAATTAACATTTTTCTTTTGATTTTCAATTTTTTTTGTCTTCTCCGTGACTTGTAATTGTAAATTAATTTCTAATTCTTCTTTTTTTTGTTTTAATTCACGTTTTTTATTATTATTCTCCTTTTTTTCACGTAATTCACGTAATGTTTCATTATTTATGTGTTCGCGATTATTTTTTGTTTCACGCGATGGTAATTCGCGTTTTTCACGTTTTTTCTCCTCATGAGAAAAAGAAGTCGAAGAAGAAGAAGAAGAAGAAGATGAGGCAAAAGAAGATTTTATCTCTTTTTTTGTTTCTTGTGTTGGAATTTTTTTATCAAATTCTGTCATAAGATTCTTTCCTTTATTACATGTTCTTGTAATATTTTCATCATTATCTAATTTATTTACACTTTTTTGTTGTGTTTTTATTATTGTTGTTGTTTCAATATTTGTTGCGATAAAATCATTTATTTCTGTTTCTTGATTATCTTTTGTACTTGTATTACTTTTTTTTGAATCGGGACTTGTTATATCGGTTACGCTCATAACACCAGTTTCGGATATTTTTAATTGTACTTCTTTCCAACCGCGTTTTGTTGCTGTTGTTGCTGCTGCTGTTGTTGTTGTTGTTTGTTCCTCACGCGTTTCAATTGGGCTCATTCCACTGTTTGTTAATGATTGTTTAAATTCTTTATTATCATCGGCGAGTTTTATTCGTTTTGGTGACGATTCGAATATTCGATAACTTAAGTGAAGCGGAACTTTCTGTAAAAAAAAAAAAAAAAGTGAAATAATTTTAGTTTTCTTACATTTTTTAAAAAAGAAAATTTGAGAGAGAAACTACGAATAAAAAATAGGAATTTTTTTTTTTTAAACTCACCCTTCGCCAATGATAAATATACATAACATCCATTAATGTATAATTTCCAAACAATGTTTCCTCTTTATACATAATATCAACACGATGTGCATCAGTGAGTCCATATTTTGCACGTATTAATTTTTGTAAATGAAAAATTGTTACAGCCGCAGGACAACGTAAATATCGTCTTGGCAATGATTTTATCATTAATTCATTATCATTGTCATTATTGTCAATATCATTATTAACAATATTTGGACTATAATATTCAAGTGATAAACTCAATGATTCGTCGGGTGAATAAATATGCGATTCAATTGGTTCGCCACGTGATTCTGGTGGCATTTGTAAATTTTTACTTTCAGGATTTTTTGCATAAAATTCCCTTCGACATCGCATTTCATCTAAATCATTAAAAAAAAAATATTAATTAAAAATTTCTTTCTTTTTTTTTTCCAATCATATTTTTTTATAAATAAATTTTAACAATTTTCTAAATAGATTTTTATAATTTAAAGAAAATCGGTTTATTTTATTTTCTTAAAATAATTTACTAAATAACAATTATTAAAAAAATAACTACAAATAAAATTAACATTCTTTTTTTTTTTAAAAAAAACCAAATGCGAATTAAAATTAAATTTTTTTTTTTTTTTTTTTACTTGGATAATTTGAATTGAGTTTATAAAAATTATTAAAATTTATAAATTATTTTCAAAAAATTAAATAAAAAATTATTGGATTTAAAAATAAAAAATAAAATTAATAATAATAAGAATTATTTTATTGCTAAAAATTTGATGAAAAAAAATTCACTTACTTTGATAACAACCGGGAACTAATTTATAAACAATATCCTGCAATGTGTGATCGGGTCTAATATTTAATAGTGGTTTACTTTTGTGAACGAGAACCTCACAAATTGGACAATATTTATTCACTTCAAGATATTTGACGATGCAACTTCGACAAACTGAAATAAATGCCCAAAAAAAAAAAAAAAAAAAAAAATTTTGCAAAAATTATTAAATTTCAAATAAATAATTTTTCAATACAAAACAAAGAAATTTTTTTTTTCAGATATTTTAATTAAAAATTTAAGTAAATTTTCAAAATTTCGAAAATATTTAAACAAAAAATTTTTTTTTTTTAAATTAGAAATACTACATTTAAAATTTATAAATTTTTAAAATTCAAAATTTATTTTATAATAAAATTATTATAATTATAAATTGTATTATAATAAAATTATTATTATTATTATAAATTATAGTATAAAAAATTATAAAAATTTAGAAATATTAAAATTGAAAATTTAAAAAAGTTTAAAATTAACAAAATTTTCAAGCAAAAATTAAAAATTTTATTTTTTTAATAAATAAGAAATAAAAAATTTTTTAATTTATTTTTAAATTAAATTCCAAAATTGGATTTAAATTAAAAATTTTATTTTTAAAGCAGAAATACAAAATGGAAAAATGACTAAATTTTCAAAAATATTTAAACAAAAATTTTATATATTTTTTTTTTTTTAAACAAAATCTTATTGTTAAATAAATATTTATTTAGAAAAATAAAATAATTTTTTTATTAAAGAAATTCAAAATTGAAAATCTTATATAAAATTGTCCCGTGTATAAATAATTAAATAATAAAATTATTCAGGATTTTTAAATTAAAAAATTAATAATTTAAATATTTTTAAATACAAATTATTAATATTAATATAGATAAATAATATAATTTAATTTAAAAAAAAAAAAAAGAAAAGAAATTGAAAACTCACATGAATGTAAACATTCGATTATTGTAGTCGCATCGATAAGGTAACCAGAGCAAAGTGTACATTTTAATTGATCATTGAGCTTTGATAAAAGTAAACGATGTCCTCCGCTCTGTCCTGACATCCTGTTGAAAAAAGAAAATAAAAATCCCATTAATTGAATTTAATTTAATTTAATTTAATTTAAATTCAAACTCAAGTAGAGGCCAAATTTTACGAATTAAATACTCGCTAAATTTTTTTTTTTTTTACTATTTTTCTTTATAAATAAAAGAAAACAAAAAAATATATAAAATAAAAACTAAACTAAAAAAAAAATTTCACTAAAATTAAATAGAAAAAAAAACATTATTTTTATCATTAAAAAAAAATTTTAAAATATAATAATAATAACAATAATAATAAAAATTATTATTATTACATTATTTATTTATTATAATTTCTTTTAATTATTAATTATTTATTTAATTATTTATTATTTTCAAAAAAAATATTATTGTCAATTTATTTTTTTTTAATTTTTTTAATTTTATTTATTATATTTATATTTTTATATTATATATATATATATATATATAATTATAAATATATTAATATTTATATATAATAATTATAATAAAATTATAAAAAAAAGGTTTTTAAAAATGAACATTTTTAATTATTTATTTTTTAAATTTAATTATTAAATAAATAATTTAAAAATACAAATAAATTTATAGATTACAAATAATTATTTAATGAATTTATTTTTTTTTTAAATTACTAAAATTATAAAAAAAAATAAATAATTTATCAACAATAATTTACGAAAAATAATAACAATTACAAAAAAAACAAACAAAATAATAATAATTATTTTGTTTTTAGTAAATAATAATAAAAAATAAATATTCATAAAAATTTATAATCATAATTATTTTTATGAATTTATTACTTTTTAAATTTTTAGCAAAAAACAAAATAAATAATTTATAAGAAATATTACAAAAATAACAACAATTACAAAATAATAATAATAATAATAATAAAAATAAAAACAAAATAATACTAATAATAATAATAATAATAATAATAATAATAATAATAACAAAATAATGTCTCGTTAATTTAATAAATAAATAATAAAAATAATAGTAAGTATTATTTTGTTTTCAATAAATAATAATAAAAAATAAATTTATAAAAATTATAATTATTTTTATAAATTTATTAATTTTTAATTATGAAAATTAAAATATTTCCCGTAAATTACAAATAAATAAAAATATATACAACTTATAATTAAAAAAAAAGAAATAATAATAATAATTATTATTACGAATTTGTTATTATTATTTACATTTCACCTAAATAAATTTATAATTCAAGTAATATTTTAATTTTAATTAATTAATTATGTAGTTAATTTTATGCGACATACTTATTTTTCATCTATCGTATATATATATATATACTACAAATTTTATTGACGCCAACAATTATTATTCCTTTTTTAATTAAAAACAATTCATTATTTTCTTGTCAATTTGACATATTTTTTTTTTTTTTTTTAATTTCCGAAATTACTCGAATTTTCCGAAAAAAGTAATTGTGTGTAAAAAAAAAAGTGTGACACACGAAAAAAAAAATGATGAGGAAGAAATCTGTTTCCCTTGAAATATTTCATTAAATTAACCAATTTAATGAAATATTTCGGATAAAACTTCCCCCCCCCCCAAAAAAAAAAGAACTATTATTCACAGCTTGAAAATTGGAATAATTTTACATAAGGAAATTTATTTTTATAACGAAAAAAAAATGTATCTATAAAACGCAAAACATCCATATTGACATTAAGGTTGTGTAGAAAAATAATAATAATAATAATAAAAAAAAAAAAACTCACACGAACATTAAAATGGAAAACACACAATGTCTCTATCTCTCTCTCTCTCTTGCTCTTGGTGAGTGAGTTTGACCAACATAAAATACGGGAATTTTTTTTTTTTGTTTTTCTTATAAAATAGATATTTTAAAAACAAAATTTTCCTATACTTACGTGTTGCTCGACTTGTGAAATCTTCAATTTTTCTTTCTCTTCTTTTTTTCTCACTTGAAATTCGCCATTTAATCACAGAAACAGAAAAAAAAAAAAAAAAAAAAAAAATTAAACAACAAAAATAAAATATCCCAAGTCAAGAAAGTTGGGTCAGAGTTCGTAGCACTTGTCACGAATTGTCATTATATGAAGCCGCATTACGACGTAGAGAACTAATACACATACACCAAAAAAAAAAAAAAAAAAAAAAAAACACAATTTCCTTAATCGAATCACTCAACAATAAATTTTCAAATTAATTAAGAGAATTAATTGTGTTTAAATAAAAATTTGTTGTTCGCGAAAATTTTACAATTTTAACTATTAAGAAATTCAATAATTTATAATTCATGGCAAAAATAGGCCAAAGTTGTTGGATTACACCTGAAAACTGCGCGTACGGCAGTGCAAACAAAATGGCGGATAAACAATCGAAATTGACTACAATTTCAAAAAACATTGACCCATAGATGGCAGTATGTGTGTGTGGTTCGGGAAATCACCACTAGGGGGGGGGGAATTAAAATTTTACTTCTAATTATCATTATTGTGTTATTATAATTGTTATAATATATATAATATATAATATAATATAATTATTATAATTTTTTTTTTTATTACTTTCGGTCTTTTTATTTTTTTTATTTTTCTACGGAGATTTTTTTTCAAGAATTTTGAAATTACGCGCGCATTTTAGCTGCTTCCCTTTAAATCACGTGACTTGCTGACGAAGTCCATTTTTTTTTTGTTTACAATTATTTAATTATTATTTTTAGTTATAATTACAAAAAGAATAAATAAAAAGAAAAACAATTAATTAGTTAAGTGTGAATAAATATAAAATGAATTTGAAAATTGATGGATATTAAAAATAAAAGGTTAGTAGAATTTCCTATAAATGTTAAATATTTTTTCTTCGATAATTTTCTTATTTTTATTTTACTTATTATTATTATATTTATATTTTTGCTTTGAATTTAGAAGAATTTGTTGTCAATTTTTTTTTTCTTTTTTTTAATGCAGTAACATTTTATATTTATATAAAAAAAAAGTGTTATTTTCATTACTAATTGAGGTTATGTTTTACGAAATTTTCAGAAAAAAAACAAAAATCAAAGACTGGAACAACAATTTTTTTTAATACTATTGTAGGAAATTAAGAAAGATTTTAAAAATTACAAAAAATGGCTAAATTTTTGTTTTAAATAGCAAAAAAAAAAAATACAATCGTAACAAAATAAAGAAAAAAATGATTTTTTAAATTGATTTTAAATAAATAAAAATAGAAAATAATTTTTCACAAAAAAAAGAGAGAGGACCAAAAAAGCACAAAAAAAAGGCTAAAAAAATTAAAAAAATTTGAAAATTTATAAAAAAAAAAGGTTCTAAAAAATTTAAATAAAAGAAAAAAAAAAAATTTGGAAAAATAGAGAAACTATTTTTAATATTTAAAAAAAGGTGGAAAAAAATTTCTAATACAGAAAAGAAATAAAAATGAAGAGATTTTGAAAAATTTATTTATAAAAAAAAGAAAAAAAAACCAAAAAAAGAGAGAGAGAGAGAGAGAGCAAAACAGAAAACAAAAAGAGAACAAAAATAAATTAAATAATTTTGCAAAATTAATGAAAATTTAAGAACAAAAATAAATTAAATAATTTTGCAAAATTAATGAAAATTTAAAAATAAATGATAAACAAAATAAAAAAGAAAAACTAAAAGGAAAATTTTCCAAGAAATAAATTAATTTTTTTTTTATTAGAAATTTATTTTTAAAATAAATTTTGAAAATCAATTATTTTTTTTTAACAAATTGAAAAAAAAAAAAAAATTAACGAAAATTAATTTACCAAAAAGAAAAGAAGGGAAAATTTTTATTCAAAAATTTAAAAATTTTGCCTTTTTTAAAATTAAATAATTAAAATTTTTCTTATTTAAAAATGTCCGCCTTTAATATTTTATTAATTCACTGTCGTAGTAATATGTATTTAATAATTGGCATTTGCCTTGGTCTTACAATGAGTTTATTATTATCGCCAATTGAATTAAATGATTGTATTGATATAACATCATCGGAAACATTACCATTTCCAATTCGTCATGATTTTAATGATGATTATGAGCCAAAATTTAATATCAACGATAAACCAAAACAAGCGCAAAAAATACCAAAATCATTTATACGTCCACGTTATTATTCAACTGAATTGGGTATAAGGGAAAAATTATTTATTGCAATTATTGCTGAACATGAATATTTATATAAACGTGGCGTGGCATTAAATAAAACATGTTCACATATTGTTGATAAAATGCGTTTTTTTATATCAATACCAGAAGGTATTAAACCAAATGTAACATTACCGGGAATTGTTGGTTTCACCGATACAAGAAATCTTTTAAAACCATTTCACATTATGAAATATATAACTGACAATTATCTTGAGGAATATGATTATTATTTTTTAATTAAAGACACAAGTTTTGTGAATGTTAGAAAATTAAAAGAATTTGTTGATAAATTAAGTGTGAGTCATGATATTCATATGGGAATTGGAAGCGAAGTGGAAAATTATTGTTCACTTGGTGAGGAAAAAAAAAAAAAAAAAAAAAAGAAGAAAAAATATTTTATTATTAAATTTTCTTATCATTTATTTATTTGAATTTTAAGGCCTCGGATTATACGACTTTTACGACTATTTCCGACTTTCTTTTTTTTCAAAAATACAACTTTTTACGATTTATTTTTAATAAAATGGGACTTTTTCGACTTCTTTTTTTTTTCAATTTTTAAAAAACAAATTTTTAAACATAATACGTTATTTTAAAGTATACTTCTTTAGATCTTTATTTCAATTATTATTTAACAAATTTTTAACTAAAATTCATTACTAAATTATTTTTTAATAATTTAGTAATGAAATTCTTCTCGAAAATTCAAATTATTTTAAACTATTTTTCTAATGAAAATTTTTATAAAAATTTAATAATTGTTTATAATTTCAAAAAAAAAAAAAAAAAAATTAACAAATAAAATTACCAAAAAAATTTTTAATTCAAATTCATTTGAAATTTAATTATTTTGCAGAAAATTTCAATTATTTTTCATGATTTTTTATAATATTCTTCTCGAAAATTCAATTAACTGAAAGCATTTATGAATTAAAAACTTTTGGAATTTAATTGTTTTTTTTTTTATATATGATTTCTAATTAATTCTTTAGCAACAGAAATCAGCAAAAAATTTTCAATTAAAAATCACTTGAAATTCAATTATTTACAAAAAATTTTGTAATTATAATTTGTCAAGAATTAATTTTTTTTTTTAAATTTAATACAAATATTAGGCACAAAATTCAATTATTTTTATAAATTTTTTTTTTTTATTGCAATTTTTTCAAAACTTCAAAAATTTAATTCTATTAGAAATTCAATTTTTTTTTAAACTTTTAGTTCAATTACGTAAAAAATTCAATTTTCAAAAAATTTTAATGGAAATTAGTAAAAAAAAATTTATTTAAAAAATGGACAAAAATTTAATTATTTTTAAAAATTTATTTATCATTTAGCAAAAAATTCAATTATTTTCAAAAATTTCAATTGAAAATGAACTAAAATTCAATTATTTTCGAAAATTACAATTCTAAAAATAAAAAAATTAATAATATATAATAAAATAAAAATTTCAATAATTTGAAATTCAATTTTTTTTTTTAAATTTTCAATTCAAAATCAACTAAAATTCAATTATTTTTCTAAATTTTATTTGCAATTCAATTTTTCCTTTAAATTTTTAATTCAAAATCAACTAAAATTCAATTATTTTCCAAAATTTCAATTCTAAATCAATTAAAATTCGATTTTTTTCTAAATTTTAATTCAAAATCAACTAAAATTCAATTATTTTCTAAAATTTCAACTCAAAATCAATTATTTTCTAAAACTTGAAATTCAAAATCAATTATTTTCAAAATTTTAAATTGAAAATCAACTAAAATTTAATTTTTTTAAAAAAAATTTTAATTAAGTATCAATTGAAATTCAATTATTTTTAAAAATATCAATTAAAAATGAATTGAAATTCAAATTCAATTATTTTGAAAAAATTCAATTATTTTCATAAATTTAAATTGTAAACCAACTAAAATTCAAATATTTTCCAAAATTTCAATTCAAAATCAACTAAAATTCAATTATTTTCGAAAATTACAATTTTAAAAATAAAAAATTAATAATAAATAAAAATTTCAATTATTTTCTAAAATCAAAATTGCAAATCTTTGAAAATTCAATTACTTTCAAAAAAAAAATTATCTAAAATTAACAAATTATTTTTAGTTCTGTAAAATTTAATTATTTGTCTGAAAATTAAGAAAATCTTTTTTAAATTCAATTATTTCTAAAAATTTCAAATTTAATTCTTCCAATAATTATTATTATTTAAAACCAAAATTTGTTTATTTAAAAATCTGTAAAATTTGATTAATTATTGAATGAATTTTTTTTTTAACCATCAAAAACTAAAAAACTATGACAAAATTTTTAATTCAAATAAATTGCTTAAATCAGACTTGAAAATTTTTTTTTTTTTTTTGAAAAAATGTAACTTTAATAATTTTTTTTTTTTTTTTTAGAAATTTATCCATACTTAAATAAAATTTTAAAAATTTATCTTTTAGTTTGATTATTATGAAATAGAAATAAATTATCTTGATAATAATATTTTATTAAAGAATTATTCTCATTACAGAATTAATAAAATAAATGTAATATCTAATAATATTAGTTATTTAAAGTAAAATATTTATTAATCAATAAAAATTTTTGTTAAAATAAAAAAATCGGCTTTTTTTGGAATATAAATCGATTAAAACGTTTTTTTTTTTTTGTCTTAAAGTCGATCCGAGGTCTGTATTTATCTAAATTTCTATTTATGAAAAAATTTTACATATATTTAGATAAATTTTGATATTAATGGAATTTTCTTTTCAAACAATTTAATTTAAAAATTTAAAAAAAAAATAAATTATTAATTTTTTAAAAATAATAATTATTTTTTTTTCGTTTATTAATTTAATTTTTTAAATAATTTATTTAATAAAAATAAATTTATTTACAAAAATTAACTGATTTTAAAAATAATAATTTTTTTTCTATTTATTTATTTGTTAAATAATTAATTGAAGTTTTCTTAAATAATTAATATTTATTTTTGTGTTAAATTTTTAATTAAATATTGTTAAATAATTTATCTATATTTATTAGTTAAATAATTATTTTTATTTGTTTATTTTGTTTTTATTATTTTATTATAATATTTAATTTATTTAATATTAATATTATTATTTTATTTTGTCCTTCGTTTAGATGCTGGTATATTATTGAGTAATTCAATAGTGAAAAAAGTGAAATCAAATTTAGATTGGTGTGTAAAAAATACATTTTCCGATTCGGATGATATTAATTTTGGTCGTTGTATTTTACGTGCAATTCCCGTGCCATGTAAAAATTCAGCGTATGGTGAAAATTTTATAACAACAAATTTGCCAGGAAATTTTAATTTTCAAACTGATTTTCAACAATTGAGAAAAGAAAAATTATTTGCCAATTCAATTTCTGTTTATCCCATTACTGAGATAAATGATGTTTACAAATTCAACGCCTACTTCACATCGGTAACTAAAAAAAAAAAAAAATATATATAATACATTAAATTTTCCTAATATTTAATTTTAAAACCGTTTTTTTTTTTTTTTTTTTTGTACGAAATAAATTATTAATTTTATTATTTTAGTTAAAAAATAATAAATGTTGAATCTTAAAAATTTTGTTTACAAATTTTCTTGACTAAATAAATTTTGTTTTCTAAAATAATTACAAAGAAAATTTTAAATTAGAATTTTTTTCAAATAAAAATTTTCCTAAAAAAAAAAACAACGAATATTTTTCGAATAAATTAATAAAAAAAAAAAAAAAAATAATTAATTTCAGATGGAATTAACAGCGGTTAACGATGAAATAAATCGTTTACGTGATAAAATAATTGAAACAACAAATTTTGGTCCTGAAAAACAACAAAATTACACATGGCCAATTGGCAATCAAGCGGGTAATAAAGCAATGGGACGATTTGATATTTTACATTGGTCATATTTTAATGAAACACATCTTTTTATGAAAAATGATAATGAAATAAAAAAAAAATTAACTGGTAGTTTAAAAAAAGAAATTGATTATATTTTACATGCTGCAATAATGCATATGATAAAAAAATCCAATGGTAAATTAATATTTCAAAATTTAATTAATGGCTATCGTAAATTTGATTCATCACGTGGTATTGATTATATACTTGATATTAATTTTACCACAATATTTGACAATAATAATAATAATAATAATAATAATTTTGATAAAAAAGAGAGTTTCATTAAAAGAATTGAAATTTGTAAACCATTGGGAAAAGTTGAAATATTACCAGTACCATATGTTACGGAAAATTCACGTATTAATATGATAATTATTGTCGATTCATTGAGACGAATTGAAGGAATGAAATTTTTGGATAATTTCGCACAAATTTGCCTTGAGAAAAAGGATAAAGTTGTTTTAATGATGGTGAGTAAATTATTATTTTTTTTTTTTATTTTAATATAATTTTTCTATGAAAATTTTTTTCTAAATTAAAATTTTTAAATTCACCTAATTATTTTTAGTTATTTATTTAAATTTTATTTAATATTAATTTTTATGAGGATTTTTAATAATTTTATTATACTTTCTATTCATATTTTTTGATTTTTAACATTTATATATATATATATATATATATATATATATATATATATTTTTAAATTGGAATATCAAAAACGTGGCGCATAACTGTCACACAGAAATTATTAATTAGAATTTTTTTTTTTTTTTTTTTTTTTTAGATGAATTTTCATTTTTCAAATTAAAATTCAATAGATTTACATTTGATATTATATGAATTTTAAAATTAGAAAATTTTTGTCATAAATCATAAAATAAAAATAAAATTCCCCTATAATAGATTGTTGAAAATTGAATTTTTGGCGTAAATTTTTTTTTTGAAAATAATTAAATATTTGTCTAATATTTATTGGGATTTTATTATTATTATTATTATTTTTTTTGAAAAAAAATGAGTTTTCAACAAATTATAATTAAAAATTTTTTTTAAATTATTCAATTTTTAGGATTTCTACTGAAAATTTGGGAAAATAATTGAATTTTTGTCTGATTTAAATGGAGATTATTGAAAATATTTGAATTTTTGTGTTTTCTTTTGAATTATAGAAAATAAATTAATTTTCGACGGATAATAAAAAACATTTTTTTTTTTTTTTTAGAAATAATTGAATTAATTGTTGAGTTAAATTAAAATTTTTCAATAATAATTTAATTTTTGTCCGTTTTTTTTTTTACAAATTTCTATTAAAATTTTTGAAAATTCAATTTTTGATAGATTTAAATTAAAATTTTTGGAAAATAATTGAATTTTTGGAATTTTTATTCAAATTGTGTGAAATAATTGAATTTTTTTGGGGATTTTTATTGAAATTTTGAAAAGTATTGAAATTGTGGAAAATAATTGAATTATAATTATTATAATTATAATAATTATTATTATTATTATCAAATTATTTTGAAAATAATTGAATTTTTGTCTGAACTGAAATAAAATTTTTAAAAATAATTGAATTTTTGATAAATTTAAATTAAAATTTTTGGAAAATAATTGAATTTTTGGAATTTTTATTGAAATTTTGATAAATTTAAATTAAAATTTTGATAAATTTAAATTAAAATTTTGGAAAATAATTGAATTTTTGGAATTTTATTGAAATTTTGGAAAATAATTGAATTTTTTGGGGATTTTTATTGACATATTGAAAAGTATTGAAATTGTGGAAAATAATTGAATTTTTATTTGGGATTTTTATAGAAATGTTGGAAATTATTGTTATTATTATTATTATTATTATTATTATTATCAGTATTATCTAATTATTTTTTTAATAAATTGAATTTTTGTCTGAACTGAACTAAAATTTTTAAAAATAATTGAATTTTTGATAAATTTAAATTAAAATTTTGGAAAATAATTGAATTTTTGGAATTTTTATTGAAATTTTGATAAATATAAATTAAAATTTTGGAAAATAATTGAATTTTTAAAATTTTATTGAAATTTAGGAAAATAATTGAATTTTTTGGGGATTTTTATTGACATATTGAAAAGTATTGAAATTCTGGAAAATAATTGAATTTTTATTTGGGATTTTTATAGAAATTTTGGAAATTATTATTATTATTATTATTATTATTATTATCAAATTATTTTGAAAATAATTGAATTTTTGTGTTTTCTATTAAATTTAAAAATATAATTAGAATTTTTGATAAATTTAAATTGAAATTTTGAAAAATAATTGAATTTTTGGAATTTTTATTGAAAGTTTGGAAAATTATTTGAATTTTTTTTTGGGATTTTTATTGAATTTTTGGGAAATTAATAGAATTTTTGACTGATAATAAATTTTTTTTTTTTTTTTTTTCAAACATAATTGAATTTTATTGCAGACTTGAACTTAAATTGTTTAAAAAATAATTTTTGCAAAAAAATATTCATTAAAAATTCTCTAAAACTTAATTATTGTTAAAAAAAAAAAAAAACTGTACAATACAAAATTTTCAACAATTCAAAAATATACAAAAAAAAAGAAAAAAAATCTCAAATCTTCTGAAATTCAATAAATTCAAAAAAAAAAATCTTAATAGAAACTATTCAAAAATTTAAGTAATTATAATTTTTTTTTTTGTCTAAAATTCTTTGTCAAATTAGTAATTTAAAAAAAATTTTTAATAATTGTAAAAAATAGGGATTTTGTTCCCATTTACTTTAATTGTCCTTAAATAATTTTTTTCAAAAATTTGTCCTATTTAATTGAATTTTTGAAAATTTTTCTAAATACAATTTTAAAATTTAATTCTAAATAAAAAATTCTTAAAAATATTTCTATTACATTTTTTTTTTTTTTTTTTTTTTTTATTAAGAAATAAATATATAATTAATTTAATTTTTTAATAATAATTTAATTTAGATTTTAAATCATTATTTTAATAATTATTATTTTTTTTCTCCGAAGTTTTGAAATGTGTACGTACATTTTTTTTTTTTTTTTTTAAACACAGGTTTTGTTATATGATCCAAATTCATCGTCAAAAGGTAAAGATGATATATTTTTTGAATTAAAACATAATGCATTATCATTGTCGGAGAAATATAAAAAAGATCTCATTAAAATTACATGGCTATCGATTCGATTGCCAATTCAATTTAATTCAATTGAAATGGAGCCATTGTTAAAAATTGCAATTGCCGATTTATCAGTGAGAAAATTTTCACCCGATAGTTTAATACTTTTCGTTGAATTGGAAATGGAAATAAAAATTGATTATCTCAATCGAGTGAGTATTTTGTTTTTTTTTAAATTAAATTTATTTTTTCTTTTTTGAAATTGCAAATAAAATAATAAATTTCTCTTTATTTATTATTTTTTTTTTTTTTAAAAAAAAGAAGGAAAATTAAAAATTAATTTTTTTTCTATTTTTGGAAAATGAATTATGTAAAATTGTTTTCTTTTTTTTTTTTAGGTTCGAATGAATACAATAAATCAATGGCAAGTTTTTAGTCCAATTCCATTTGTTGAATTTCATCCTGATATTATTTATAATGAGGATAAAAATATTGAATTCGATGTTGTTCGCAATTTGGGACGATATAATGATTTTAATTTTAATTCCATTGGTTTTTATGCTAAAGACTACATAAGCAGTGAGTAATTTTTCTTTTTTTTTATTAATTAATAAATTCGAAAATTATTATCATTAAAAATATATTATTCGATATTTATTTTAACTTCCAATAACAAATTTATTTCAATGTATAATTTAATTTTTTTTTTCAGTAGTTAAATTAAATTTCTCTTTATATATATATAGTAAAATTAAATTTTTATTAACAGTATAAAATTAAATTAATTTTTTATTGATAGATAAAAATTCAATTTAAATCGAAAAAATAAATAAAATAAAAAAAAATATTGTAAATTTTATTTAATTAAAACAAAAAGAATTTTCAATTTTTCTTTGTTATTGTTTATTTTTTTTTCTTCTTCTTTCAGCTCGTAAATTAATTGAGGGAAAAATTCCAATTGTAAGAACCGATAAAGACATTGGAACAATAATAAAATCAAAAACAATAATTGGCTCAATTTTTGAAATGTTTGTTAAATACAGTGAATTACATGCATTTCGTGCTGTTGAGCCAAGTTTAAAAATACGCTACAAAAATATCAATTGCAATGGTACAAGGAGGGAGGATATTTTTCAAAATTGCAAAAAACAACAAAATTTACAACTCGCACATCGTGGCGAATTAACAAAATTAATTCTCGAATACCAAAGTGAATTGTGATTTTTTTTTTATATTTCCAAGTTATTTTTCTTGGCATTTAGAAAATTTATTTACTAAATTTTTCTTTCTTTTTATATTTCCAAATTTTTTTTCTTGGCATTTAGAAAATTTATTTACTAAATTTTTCTTTTTTTATTTTTAGCAACGAAGAAATGAGATTAAAAAAAAAAAAAACTGGTTATGAATTTTCTTTTTAAGTTTTTTTTTTTTTTAGTTAATATAAATTATTAGTATTTTATTTATATTATATTAGTATTTTAATTTTAATTTTAATTTTAATTTTAATTTTAATTATTTTATTATTTCTATTTTAATTTATATTAAAAATTGTTTATTATTTTTATTTTAGCTATATTATTATTAATAAAGGAGCTTTGCACATCTGTTTTTCGTCTTTAAGTTTTAACGGTTTTTTTTAAAAGAATCTTTCAATATTGGTAAATAATATTATTATTGTTATTATAAATTAAATTAAAAAAAAAAAAACTATTAAATTACCAGTATTTTTTAAAATGACTGCATAAACTTAGTTTTTAACTTTTTTTTTTTTTTTTTTTTAAATTAATTTATACAATCATTATTATTATTGTTATAAAAATAATATATTAAAATATTATTCATATTAGGATTTAAGGTAAATAAGGAAAATATTTTTTATATTCCGCAAATATTATAAAAATAAAATTCCATTAAAATTCCTACTGATATTCAATATTTAATGAGAAAATTTGATAAGATAAAAAATAATATTATTTCTTTTTTTTTTTTTTTTTTTGATTTCAAAATTTATTCTAATGAGGATTATATGTTAAAATTAAAATTTGAAAAAAGAAATAAAAAAATATTTAATTTGAAAAAAACTGTAAAAATGAAAAAATAAATGAAAATTAAAATTATGTTTCTCAATTTAATAAATAAAATTTTTCTTAATACCGCAGATTTTTGTAACAGATTTTCTTGTATTAAATATAAATAAAAATAAATTAAAAAAACAAAAAACATTTTTTTTTAATTAGAACTATTCTTTGAAATTGATTAATGTTATTAATTAATTAATTGACTAACATACGTTTAATTAGTTAATTAATTTTTTATTAAATCTTTCTTTAATTATCAATAATTATTAATTAATTAATTAATTAATTTTTTTTTTTGAAATTATTATCATTATTTCATTTTGTTGTACGATGAAAAGAATTGAATTAATTTAAATATAAAAATACATGTCAATATTGTCAATAATTTGTAATCTTTGAAAGATTGATTGAAACGCAGATTCGATATTATATATATATATATATATATTTATATTTATCTTAAGTTTGATATCACATAAGAGCAATGTCTTTATCATAAAAACGTAACTCGTTGTGATGAAAGACAATTCTTTTTTTTTTTTTTTGTGAAAATTTAAAATAGAAAAAAAATATTTTTATTAATTAATTAATTATTTCTTTTATTTATATGTTTAGAAAAATTTTTTGCTTTGAACAAAAAAAAAGATAGAAAGAGTGAGAGAGAGAAAGAGAGAAAAAAAAATGAAATTTTTTCAAAAAACAGTGATTCTATTAGTGATAAAATTAACATTAGTGCTATTGTGTTTTATATCCAGTGTCAAGGGAAATTTATCAAATCATCAAAATAACACAATTTTAAATAATGGCAATATACAAATAATATTCAATAATTTGGAAGCGAAAAATATTTTAAATAATTATTCTAAATTTAAATTAAATAAATGTTCAATTGATATTTATTTATTAATTCAAGAAGTGAAAAAATTACAACCATGGGCTTTAAGTAGTAAGATAATTGATAACAATTTTTAAAATTCTCTTTACAATTATCAAAAAAAAAAAAAAAAATATTTCAAAAAAATTCCAATAATATCTAAAATATATATATATATATATATATATATATATATATTCCAATTACAATTTTTCCGAAAGTATTCCAAAAAAAATATTCCAAAACCATTCGAAAGTATTCAAAAAATATTCCTATTACATTATTCCAAAATTATTCCAAAGGTATTCCAAGAATTTAAAAAATATTCCTATTACATTATTCCAAAACTATTCCAAAATATTCCAAAGGCATTCGAAGAATTTAAAAAAATATTCCAATTAGAATATTCTGAAAGTATTCCAAAAATATTTTTAAAAATATTCCAAGGATATTCCAAAGTATTCAAATAATATTCCTATTACATTATTCCTAAACTATTCCATATATTCAAAACGTAATCGAGGAATTTAAAAAAAATATTTCAAAAAATATTCCAATTAGAATATATTGAATGTATTCCAAAAGTATTCCGAAAATATTCCACAAAAATTCCAAAAATATTCCAATTACATTATTCTAAATGAAATCCAATAATATTCCGAAATATTAAAAAAATATTTCTATTCCACTATTCCAAAAGTATTCAAAGAATTAAAAAAAATATTTCAAAATATATTTCAATAATATTCCAACAATAATCCAATTACATTCTTCCAAAGATATTCCAAAAAGATTCTAAAAGCATTTTAAATTATTTAAAAAATATTCCTATTACATTCTTCAAAAGGTATTTCAAAATTATTCCAAAAATATAAAAAAAAATTCCAATTAAAATATTCTGAAAGTATTAAAAAAAATATTCAAAACTTATTCCAAGAATTTAGAAAATATTCCAATTAGAATATTCTGAAAGTATTCCAAAAATATTCTAAGAATATTGCACAAAAATTCCAAAAATATTCCAATTACATTATTCTAAAAGTATTCCAAAAATATTCCAAAGGTATTCCAAAAGTATTCCAAAAATATTCCAAATATATTCCAATTCTATTATTCTAAAAGTATTCTAAATTTTTCCAAAATCATTTCAAAAACATTCTAAAGTATTCAAAAAATATTCCTATTACATTATTCCAAAGGTATTCCAAAATTATTCCAAGAATATAAAAAAAATTTTCCAATTAAAATATTTTGAAAGTATTCCAAAAATATTCCAATTACATTATTCTAAAAGTATTCCAAAGAGATTCCAAAAGTTTTCCAGGAATTAAAAAAAAATTCCCAAAGTACTAAAACAATTTCAAAAATATTCCAAAAGTATTCCAAGAATATTCCAAATATATTCCAATTGCATTATTCCAAAAGTATTCTAAATTATTCCAAAAGCATTTCAAAAACATTCTAAACTATGAAAAAAAATTCCTACTACATTATTCGAAAGGTATTCCAAAATTATTCCAAGAATATAAAAAAATTTTTTAATTAAAATATTCTGAAAGAATTAAAAAAATATTCCAATTAGAATATTTTAAAATTATTCAAAAAATATTCCAAAAGTATTTCAAAAATATTCCACAAAAATATTCTAATTACATTATTCTAAAAGTATTCCAAAAATATTCCTATTACAATATTCCAAAAATTGTCCAAAAGTATTCCAGGAGTTAAAAAAATTCCCTGGGTACTCAAAAAATTTCAATAATATTGCAAAAGTATTCCAAAAATATTCCACAAAAATTCCAAAAATATTCCAATTACATTATTCTAAAAGTATTCCAAAAATATTTCTATTACAATATTCCAAAGATAGTTTAAAAGTATTCCAGTAATTAGTAAAAATTCCAAAAGTACTACAAGATATTCCAAAAGTATTCCAGGAATTAAAAAAATATTCCCAAATTACAAAAAAAAAATTCAAAAATATTCCAAAAGTATTCCAAGAATATTCCAAAAGTATTCCAAGAATATTCCACAAAAATATTCTAATTACATTATTCTAAATAGTATTCCAAAAATATTCCTATTACAATATTCCAAAGATAGTCCAAAAATATTCCACAAAAATTCTAAAAATATTCCAATTACATTACTCCAAAAGTATTTAAAAAATATTCCAAAAATATGCCACAGTATTTAAAAGTATTCCAAAAATATTCCAATGTATATTCCAAAGGTATTCCCAAAGAATATTCCAATTTCAATATTCCAAAAGTATTCCATTTTTTTTTGAAAATATTCCAAAAATATTTTTTAAAAAATCAAAAATCTTCCAAATAATGTATTCCAAAAGTATTCAAAAAATATTTCAATGTGTATTGCAAAAAATATTCCAAAAATATTCCAATTACAAGCACTTTAAAAAATAATTCGTTATATAATTAAAAAGAAATAAAAAAAAATTCCAAAAAAATATTCCCGGAATATCTTAGTAAAAAATTTTAAACAAGAAAAAAAATTTTTTTTCTGAAAAAATAATTAAAAAGTGATAATAAAAAAACAAAAAAAAAATATTTTCCCTCTCTAGTGATTGATGCATCAACAAAAATTCCCTCTGGATTATTACAAGGGAATGTCGTCGATCTTGGAATGTTTGACGAATGTATTAATATACATGGTAATCTAACCAATAAACGAATTATAAATGGAAGACATTGTATTTATACATTAAATTTTCTAATAAATAATGTTGTATTTGATTTAAAACCAAAATTTGGCATGTGCCTACCATCAAGTTGTGATATTGAAGATGTTGTTAATATTATTGATAATATTAATGAAGAATTACATAAAAAAGGAATTAGCGAAACAATTAATATTCAAACGGAAATTGTCACATGTTCTTATTTAAATAATAATCAATTATCAACAGGAAGTATTATTTTTATGTAAGTGTACAAATTTATTTTGAAAATATTTGGAATATTCCATTAAAAATCTGAAATATTCCAATATATTTATTACGAAATATTTGGATTATTTCAACAACAAAAAAATTCTGGAATATTCCTGTAGAAATCAAAAAAAAATTCCAATATATTTACCATGGAATATTTTTACGATAAAAATTATGGAATATCTGGAATATTTATCTAGAAACAAGAAATATTTCATTATATTTATTATGGAATATTTTTTGCAAAAAAATATTCAGGAATATTCTTCTAGAAATCAGAAATATTCCAATATATATTTATTATGGAATATTTGAAATATTCAGCTAGAAACCAAAAGTATTCCAAAATTTTTACTAAGGAATATTATGAATATTCCTACGACAAATATTATGGAATATCGAGAATATTCCATAAGAAAAGAAGAAATATTTCAATATATTTATTATGGAATATTTGGAATATTCCACTTGAAACTAAAAATATTCCAATATATTATGAAATATTTGGAATATTTCTATGACAAATATCATGGATTATCTGGAATATTCCAATAGAATAAGAGAAATATTCCAATATATTTATTATAAAATATTTGGAATATTCCAATCGTGACTAAAAATATTCCAATATATTATGGAATATTTGGAATATTTCTATGACAAATATCATGGAATATCTGGAATATTCCAATAGAATAAGAGAAATATTCTAATATATTTATTATGGAATATTTGGAATATTTTTATGACAAATATCATGGAATATCTAGAATATTCCAATAGAATAAGAAAAATATTCCAATATATTTATTATGGAATATTTGGAATATTCCAATCGTAACTAAAAATATTCAAATATATTTATTTTGAAATATTCGGAATATTCCACTCGTAACTAAAAGTATTCCAATATATTATGGAATATTTGGAATATTTCTAGGACAAATATCATGGAATATCTGGAATATTCCAATATATTTATTATTGAATATTTGAATATTCCTATGGAATATCTGTAATAAAATATTTTATGACATTGGAGTATGTGTATTTTATGTTGGAATATCTGGAATATTTGGAATATACAACAAAAAAAATTGGATTTTGGTAATATTTCATTGGAATAGCAAAAATTATAATTACTAGAATATGAATTTTCCGAAAATTACATTGGAATATTACCTAAATAATTATTTTGTGATATTCCTGATATTTTTCTAATTGTAAGATATTCCAAATATTCCTTTGGATTATGAAAAATATTCCAGGAATATTTATTTAATTTTTTTCTAATTAAAAAAAATAATTTTTAATTTATATATATATTTTTTTTCATAGATCAATATTAACAATAATTGTACTTTTCCTTGTGATTTGCACAATTTTGGAATTATTACACAATTGGTTGGAGGCAAAAAATTACAATTGGAATATTATTAGATCATTATCACGATTTTCATTGATAAACAGTTCGTTGAGAATTTTAAGTTTAAAAATGCATTCGGGATCAATTTCCTCGATACATGGAATTCGTGCATTAAGTATATTATGGATTGTTTATGGACACGATCTCTTTTTTAATGTCATGGCATCATTTGTCAATTCAGTCGATTTTTTAGATGTAAGATTTAGAAAAAAAATTAAAAAAAAAAATTCGAAATGAAAAATATTCTTGCCATCGAGTAGAAGATATTTGTGAAAATTTTATATTTTTATGTTTATACGATTGGTTATTATAGGCAAATAAAGTCTCGAGGTGAAAAGCAATGGTAATCGTCGCCATTTTTCATCGCCTCAAGACTTTTTTCTTTAATAAAAATTGCAAAATTAATTTTTTCTCGTCGATTTTTGGATTAATTGAATCTATTCGATGGCACGGTTTGATTTACAAAAATAGTTTTTTTTATTTTACAAATTTTTAGAAAATTCTAACCTCTAAATTAAGTTTTCGGTAATCTTTTTTTAAAAAGCGCTAAATGAAAATTATTCTTGCCATCGAGTAGAAGATATTTATGAAAATTTTACATTTCTCTGTTTATGCCAGTGATTTTTATGGGCAAATAAAGTCTCGAGATGGAAGCAATGGTAATCGTCGCCATTTTTCATCGCCTCAAGACTTTTTTCTTTAATAAAAATTGCAAAATTAATTGTTTCTCGTTGATTCTTGGATTAATTGAATCTATTCGATGGCACGGTTTGATTTACAAAACAGTTTTTTTTATATTGCAAATTTTTAGAAAATTCTAACCTCTAAATTAAGTTTTCGGTAATTTTTTTTTAAAAATCGCTAAATGAAAATTATTCTTGCCATCGAGTAAAAGATATTTATGAAAATTTTACATTTCTCTGTTTATGCCAGTGATTTTTATGGTCAAATAAAATTTCGAGGTGGAAGCAATTGCAATTGTCGCCATTTTTCATCGCCTCAAGACTTTTTTCTTTAATAAAAATTGTAAAATTAATTATTTCTCGTTAATTCTTTGAAAAATTAAATTTACTCGATGGCAAGAATAATTTTCATTAATATTGATATAGAAAAATATATTTTTTGAAATTATAAATTGTGTTTTTTTTTAATTTAACTAAAATTATGTATTAATTAATAATTAAAATCAGTAAATTTTTTTTTTCTATGCACAATTAGTGGGCCAAATCTTGGAGAAGTTTTTATCTTGCCATGGGAATTTATGCTGTGGATACATTTTTTTTGCTCAGTGGTTTTTTGCTCTCTTATCTTTTTTTTAAAAAAATGGCACATGGAAAAACATTCAATATTTTGGAATTTTATTTCCATAGATATATCAGGTTTTAATTTATTATTATTTTTATTTTACAATTATTATTGTATTATTATTATTATTATATTATTATTATTATATTATTATTATTTTATAATTATTATTTTCTTATTATTTTTTTATTATTATAATTATTATTTATCATTTTTTCAGCTCTTTTTGATATTTTTTATTGAAAATTAAAAAAATTAAATGTAATAATCGAAATTTTTTTTTTTTTTTAGATTAACTCCAGCATTGGCGGCTCTTGTTCTTATAACAATATTTATTGTTCCACATCTTGGTTCGGGTCCAAGATGGGAGGGTGATATTGTCGCTAATGTTTCAACAAAATGTGAAAATTCCTGGTGGAAAATTCTTCTCTATGTGCAAAATTATGCCGGGGAAAATATTGCTGACAATCTAGTATTTTTTTTTTTAAATTAATAATTTTTTTTTTCAATTAAAAATTTTAATTAATTTAATAAATTAATATTATTGAAATTAATTTTTTTTTTATTTATTAATAATTTATTAATAATAATAAATACTAATAAATACTAATAAATACTAATAATTAATTAATAATTAAATTTTTATTAATTTTATTGTTAATTAATAAATTATTAATATTAATTATTAGTTAATAAATAAATAAATTTTTTTAAAAATATTTTTTTATTATTGTTAATTGAAATAAAAAACAAAAAAAAAAAAAATTATTTACTCACAGTTTTGTTTGGGTCACTTGTGGTACTTGTCAGTTGATATGCAACTTTTTTGGCTCTCACCATTAATTATTTATCCACTTGCAAAAAAACCAAAAATTGGATTAATCATATTGGGATTGGCTTTTTTTGCCTCGATTATTACTCCGGCGGTAATTGTTGGAAAATATGAATTACTCTTCACCAGTCTTAATTTTAATGAGTAAGTTTGAAAAAAAAAATTTTTTTAAATAAAATTTTCGTTTTTAATTTAATTTTTTTTTTTTTATTTAGAAAATTTAAAAAATTATATTTTATAATTTTACTAATTATTCAATTTTTTAATTTAATTTTTTAAAGAAATTGTTATATAAAAAAATTTTATTTATTTTATTTTTTTTTTTGAATTAAAAATGAAAAAATATTTTTTCAAAAATTATTAAAAAATGTTTTCACATTATTCAGAATGGGAAGAATGGCGGAGACTGCAAATAAATATTACGTTATAACACATTGTCGAGCAAGTCCATGGATCACTGGAATATTTTTTGGTTACATTATGGTGACTAAAAAATCGAAACCAAATAGGGTAGGAATTTTTTTTTTAATAATATTCATAATAAGAATAATAATAATTTGTTGTTTTAATTTATTTTAAATATTTTTTTTTATGTACAGTTTTGTAATTTATTTTCTGATAAAATTTATTTATTATTATTGAATCAAGTGTCCTGTTTTACCGATTAATGATAATATATATTTGAGTGATCTATTTTATCAATAAATGATAAAACAGAATGGAGTGTTTTGTTTTACCACTGAATGATAAAACAGAATTGAGTGTTCTGTTTTAACACAAAATGATAAAACAGAATTGAGTGTTCTGTTTTACCAATAAATGATAAAACAGAATGGAGTGTTCTGTTTTACCAATAAATGATAAAACAGAATGGAGTGTTTTGTTTTACCACTGAATGATAAAACAGAATTGAGTGTTCTGTTTTAACACAAAATGATAAAACAGAATTGAGTGTTCTGTTTTACCAATAAATGATAAAACCGAATGGAGTGTTCTGTTTTACCAATAAATGATAAAACAGAATGGAGTATTCTGTTTTACCACTGAATGATAAAACAGAATTAAGTGTTCTGTTTTAACACAAAATGATAAAACAAAATTGAGTGTTCTGTTTTACCAATAAATGATAAAACAGAATGGAGTGTTCTGTTTTACCAATAAATGATAAAACAGAATGGAGTGTTCTGTTTTACTACTGAATGATAAAACAGAATTGAGTGTTCTGTTTTAACACAAAATGATAAAACAGAATTGAGTATTAATAAACAGTATTATTATTATTATTATTATTATTATTATTATTGTAAATATTATTATTATGTTTATTAAAATTTTTTATTATTAATAATATTTAGATAATTAATATAAAAAAAAATTATTTAATAAACAATTTTTTGTTATTGTTATTTAAATTAGAAAATTGTTATTTTCGGATGGATAGTGGCAATAATTTGCTTCATTTTTTGCACTTGGGGTCATTTGGCAACATTGAGAAATGATTACGTGTACAATGTCGTTTTAGAGACAGTTTTAGCGTCACTGGGACATTTTATTTGGGCCACTGGAGTCGCTTGGATTATTTATGCTTGTCATCATGGCTCGGGAGGTAATTTTTTTATTTTCTATTTTTTTTTAATTTAAAAAAATATTAATTTTTAGTTTTATTAAAAATTAAATTTTTATTTTTATTAAAATTTTTCTAAATTTGATTTTTTTCAAATTTCGATTAAATTAACAATAATTTTTCTACTTTTTTTAAAATTTCAGGTTTAATTAATAAATTATTGTCGCTATCAATTTTTCTACCAATAAGCAAAATTTCCTACAGTCTATATTTATTGCATTATTTATTTCAAAATTTAAAATCAGGCAGTTCAAGATTATCAAGTTATTTCTCTGATTTTGGAATTGTGAGTGTTACCAAGTTTTTATACTATTATTATTATTATTATTATTATTATTATTATTATTATTATTATTTGAATAAATAAATTTTTTTTCAATAAAAAAATTCTTTTAAAATAAATTATAATTTTCTTTTCTAAATAGAAAAAAAAATTATATTATTAAAATAATTTTTTTTTTATTTGCAAAACAAATTAATAAATAAATTTTTTTTCTAAATAAAAAAAATAATTTTTTTTTTTTTTTAATTGAAACAAATGTTTATTTTTTTTATGTTTAATGAGGGTAAAAAATTATTATTGCAAAAAAAAATAATAATTAATAAAAATTTTTTTTCTAAATTTATTTTAAAAAGTATAATAAAGAAAAAAAAATTTCTTTTTTTTTCTCATTCAGTTTCAGTCATTTTTGGGTGATTTGCTTTTCTGTTTGATTTTGTCATTCATTTTTTGTATACTTTTTGAGTCGCCAATTTTAATTTTGGAAAAAATGATTTTTGACAAAGAAACAAAGACAACAGAAACTCAACAACAACAACAACAACAACAACGACAACAACAAATTCCAGAGGTAAAAGTCACCGAATGTCGTGTGTCACTTGAAAAAAATGACAATGGTCAAACAATTATTGATCCAGAAACAAATGAACCAACAACAACTTTGTGATTTTGTAAAAATTATTTTTTCTTTTTTAATAAAAAATAATAAAAAAAAAACGCATTAAAATTTTATTTATTTAAAATATTGAAAAAATACTTTTTTTAAAACGAATTTCCAACAGTTATATTTTTACAGTTTTAATCAAATGGGGTAATTATGACAATTAGATGGGGGCAAAATGGCATTAAGATGGGGTAAAATTGTAAATTGTAAAAATTTTACTTTCTTTTAACGATTTTCTATAATATTTATATTTTTACAGTTTTAATCAAGTGGGGTAATATATGACAATTAGACGGGGGCAATATGGCATTAAGATGGGGTAAAATTGTAAATTGTAAAATTGAAAAAATATTACTTTCTTTTAACGATTTTCTATAATATTTATATTTTTACAGTTTTAATCAAATGGGGTAATTATGACAATTAGATGGGGGCAATATGGCATTAAGATGGGGTAAAATTGTAAATTGTAAAAATTTGTAAAATCATAGAAATATTAATTTTTTAACGATTGTCTATAATATTTATAATTATTTTGGGGTAATATGACATCCATTATGGGTTAAAACGTCATACAATGATGGGGATAAAGTGACACAAATATTACAACTTATTTGGAATTATATGGGGTAAAATGTGCACGAATGGCACTATTTAATTGGAATTTAATGGGGTAATATGTCACCAACTATGGTGTAAAATGTGCACGAGTGGCACAACTTATTTGAAATTTCATGGGGTAATATGACACCTATGATTGGAGGGGGGGGGGTAAAATGATACCATTGTCACAAATTATTTATTATTACAGGGGGTAATATGACACCGACAATAAGGGAAAAATGTCACAACTTATTTGAAATTACATGAGGTAATGTGACATCGGAAATGGGGGTAAAATTGTACAAAATTTTTTCTCAATGTTCAAAAATAAAATCAAAAAAAAAAAAAAAAAAAAAATGTGGGAAAGGAAATTAAATAATTATTAAATTAGAGAATATTTTCTTAAAATTTTTTTTAATTAATTTTTTTTTTTTTAATTTTTTTCTTTTCTTAAAATTGACAGAAAAAAAGTGTAGTCACCAAATTTTTATGGTGAAATATATGTATATATATATATATTCTGTTTTGAAAATGGATTATTATTCATATGTATTTGAGTAGTATTTTTTCTTTTTAATTTTTTTTTTTTTTTTTTTTTTTTTTTTTTTGCACACACAAATTGGACTGAATAATAATATCAATTATTTATTTATTCATGATGTTCACAAACATTCGAAACAACAAACGATTTTTCACACTTTGCATAGTTTTTTTTTTTTTTTTTTTATTTATTCATTAATAATAATTAATTATTATTATTATTATTATTATTATTAAGGTAAATGAGCAAATCTTTTTAATAGCGATATTTTTTTTTCATTTTAATGACTAGTTTTCGAATCTTTATTATTTATTTATTTTTTTTTTTTGATTCGATGTCAAATTTTTTTTTCTTTTTTTTTTAAATGCAATAATTTTTTTTTTTTAACAATATTATTATTTCTCGACAAAAATTGTTTTTTTCTAAAAGGTGATGAAAAAGATTTTTTTATTTTTTTTTTTTTGAAACGTTGAATATGGAATTTTTTTTTTTTTTTAGGAAATAATATTGATTTTAATATTTAATTTTTTGTTAATATTTAATTTTTAATAAATTTTTTTTTTTTATTTAAATATTAAACAAAAAATACAAAGTTTAACTAATTTAAAAAAAAAACAAAAAAAATATATTCCACGAATATTCCAGATAAAAAGATATATATTTTTTATAAATAAACAATGAAATATTCCATGAATTATATCAATGAAAAATTATTCTTAAATATTTTACTAAATATATATATATAAAATATATTCCTAAAAAATATTTAATTAATATTTCATTAATATTTCAGAGATATTCAAGTCAATATTCCGGGAAATATTTTTTGGGAATATTCTAGAAAATATTCTATGAAATATTACACGAATAATATATTAATATTTTTGCAATTATGTTATAAATAATTTATTTTTCATTTATATTAAACCAAATATTCCTTAAATATTCCATTGAATATTTTATGTATATTCCACAAATATTAATCAAAAAAATATTCCATTGAATATTTTGTGAATATTCCACAAATATTAATCAAAAAAATATATCATTGAATATTTTGTAAATACTCCATGAATATTATCAATAAAATATTCCATTAATATTTTGTGAATATTCCATGAATACTATCCAAAAAAATATATTCCATTAATATTTTGTGAATATTCCATGAAATATTTTCAAAAAAAAAAAATATTTCAAGAATATTTCCCATAAATATTCCACAAAAAAAATTCCAAAAAATGTATTTGACGAATATTCCATGAATATTCCATTACTATTATCCCAAACATATTCCATTGAATATTTTGTGAATATTTCCCGAATATTAATTAAAATAATATTTCATTGAATATTTTTTGAATATTCCATGAATATTATCAGAAAAAAAATATTCCATTAATATGTTGTGAATATTCCATGAAATATTTTCCAAAAAAAATATTCCAATAATATTTCCCATAAATATTCCATAAAAAAATTCCCAAAAAAATATATTTGACGAATATTCCATGAATATTCCATTAATATTATCCAAAAATATTCTATTGAATAATTTGTGAATAATTTTTTGAATATTATCAAAAAAATATTCCACTAATATTTTGTGAATATTCCATGAAATATTTTCAAAAAAAAAAAAAATATTCCATGAATATTTCTCATAAATATTTCATAAAAAATTCACAAAAAAATATATTTGACGAATATTACATGAATATTCCATTAATATTATCCAAAACATATTCCATTGAATAATTTGTGAATAATTCTTTAAATTTTATCCAAAAAATATTCCACTAATATTTTGTAAATATTCCATGAAATATTTTCAAAAAAAAAAAAAAATATATTGCATGAATATTTCTCATAAATATTTCATAAAAAAATTCACAAAAAAAATATATTTGACGAATATTACACGAATATTCCACGTTATATATTTTAAATTGAATTTGATTTTTTTTTCCTTTTAGAAAATAACAATTTAGTCGAAAATAGTCGTATACACCTTATTTTAAAATTCGAAATAGTTTAGGCATTGCTTATAGTAATAGTAGGAAATAATAATAATGATAATAATAATAATAAGAATAATAATAAAAATAATAGAATAATTTAAAAAAAAAATTATATTAAAAAAAAAGAATAATATTTCACGTGTATTATTATTTTTGATATTTTTCATTAATAATTAATTATTATATATTTTTTTTATTTTTTTGCTATTATTAATTATTATTTATTTATTATAATAATTAATTATAATTGATTTCTAATTAATTTATAATTAATGAATAAATAAATTAAATTAATTAAAATTAAATATATTAATTAATTATGTAAATAAAATAATATAATATTAGAATATTAAAAAAAAATTATTATCATTTTTTTATTATTATTATTATTATTATCATTTTATTAATATTATTAAAGATTAAACAATATAATATTAAGCTCGGAGAAAAATGGCATAACGACGAAAGATCATTCCGAAAATAATGTATGTATACAATATTTCTATTATTTATAATAAATCTATTTATATTTATATATGTATATATATTTATATTTTATTTACAAAAATCGTTCGGGGTCGTTAAAAAATCACGGGAAGAAAAGTATTTTTTTTTTAATTATATTTTTAATTATAATATTTATGTATATATTTATAAATGTATAGAACAATTAATTTTTGGAAGCTGTACAATAATAATAATAATCATTTCAGAATATTTAACTCATCATGTCATTTATACTTTCAGCGTTTTTTTTTTTTTTTTTATTTTATTTTTTTTTTTTTTAATGTTATCACGCTTTGTCTCATACATTTTTTTTTGCGAATTTTAATGTTGGATGGCAAATTGTAATTTTCTTTTTTTTCATTCCAATAACAAAATAATAATTATACAATAATTGGCACTAGTCACATTTTAATTATTTATTTTTTTCTTCTTCTTCTTCTTTTTCATCACCAACAAAAATTCGACTTTATTACCACAAATAAAACATGAAATATTCCATTCATGTACAAGGAATATTTAGGGAATATTTCAAAAATATTTTTTTTCAATTAGAATATATGGAATATTCGAATAGATATAATTTTGGAATATTTGGATGCAATATTCCCGGAATATTTTAAAGAAATATTTCCAAAATATTACTGCAATATTTTAGGAATATTTGGATGAAATAATCCCGGAATATTTTAAAGAAATATTTCCAAAATATTATTGGAATATTTCCATAATATTACTGGAATATTTCCATAATATTACTGGGATATTTCCAAAATATTACTAGAATATTTCCAAAATATTACTGGAATATTTTATGAATATTTGGATGAAATATTCCCGGAATATTTTAATTAAATATTTACAAAATATTACTGGAATATTTCCATATTATTACTGGAATATTCCCAAAATATTACTGGAATATTTAAGGAATATTTGGATGAAATATTCCCGGAATATTTTAAAGAATTATTTCCAAAATATTACTGGAATATTTTAGGAATATTTGGATGAAAAATTTCCAAAATATTACTGGAATATTTTTAAGAATATTTAAATGAAATATTCCCGGAATATTTTAAATAAATATTTCCAAAATATTATTGCAATATTTCCAAAATATTACTGGAATATTTTAGGAATATTTGGATGAAATATTCCCGGAATATTTTAAAGAAATATTTCCAAAATATTATTGGAATATTTTTGGCATATTTAGATGAAATATTCCCGGAATAATTGAGGAATATTTAATGGAAATATTCCCGGAATATTTATAAAATATTACTCGAATATTCAGAAATATTTTAAATGAAATATTTCCGAATAATTTTAGGAATATTTAATTAAAATATTCCTGGAATATTCGAAATTGTTCTTAGACACATATTTTTGGAATATTTCTATTTGGAAATATTCCCTAAAATATTTGGAATATTTGTTTGAAATATTCTTGAAATAATTACAAGGAATATTCGAAATTATTCTTAAGACATATTTTTGAAATATTTCTGGGAATATTAATGCAGAAAAATTTGGAAATATATTTTTTTTCTGTAATATTAACACTATAAAATTGAAAATATTTACTGAAATATTTTGAAATAATCCATAGTAATGTCAATGGAATATTCCTTGTTAAACAGATTTTTTTTTTTTTTTTTTGTTGTTTTCCGATGAAAGATTTATTTATTTATTTAACTTTTTTTTCTTGTTTAATATACAGGAAGACAATAGAAACAAAGAAATTGAAAGTTAAAGAGATAAAGAGTGTGAGATAGAAGAAAGAGTGTTAAATGATGAGATTCCTATAGAATTTTTTTTTATTATTATTTTTAAAGCCAAGCGAAATTTTTTTTTTTTTTTTTTTTTTTTTTTTGTCTTAAAGTGTAGAAACAATTTTTTTTCTTCTTTTTGAATTGAAATATTTATTTCTATAAGTGCAAAGTGGTTTTATTTTTTTTTCTCTAAATTTTTGTTTATAATATTTATTTTCTCAATAAATCTAGCTCATTATAATATTTGAGTGTATTTATTAATTTTTTTTTTTGTAATGTGAAAAAAGTCTAAATCTCAAAAAGTTTTTTAAAAGCCATTCTTTTTAAAGAGATATAATATTTAAATATAGTTAACTAGATTGAGAGGCGAGTTTTTATATTTATTTAAAAAAAAGAAAGTTTCAAAATTGTCGATATGATTTTTTTTTTACAATATTCTACGAATTTGATTTTATAGTGATAAATAATTAGTTTCATCTAGTGACGGAATATTTTATCGTTAAAATCATTTAATTTAGATATTAATAAAATCGATATATGTACATATCGATATTTTACAATAAATAATAAAATTGATATTCTTAATAATTTTATAATTAATACAATATTTTCATTATTTTCAATATTTTACAAATTCTGAATCGATATATCGATAATAATCAAAATACTCGATACACAAAGTAATAGAAATATCGATATATTGAAATAATCGATACACGAAATATTGATATATCGAAATATTGATATATCGAAATAATCGATATATTGAAATAATCGATATATCGAATTAATTAATCGATAATCGAAATAGTCGATACGCTAAATAATCGATAGTCAAAATAGTCAATAAGTTAAATATTCAATAATCGAAATAACTAATATATCGAAATAATCGAATATCGAAGTAATTTATATATCGATAATTAAAATAATCGATGATGGAAGTAATCGATAATCAAAATAACCAATATATCGAAATAATTGATATATTGATAATCGAAATAATCGATGCTAAAAGTAATCGATAATCGAAATAAACAATGTATCGAAATAGTCGATGGTCGAAGTAATTTATATATCGATAATCGAAATAATAAATGGTCGAAGTAATTTATATATTGATAATTGAAATGACCAATATATCGAAATAATCGATAATTAATCGAAATAACTAATATATCGAAATAATCGATACTCGAAGTAATCGATAATCGAAATAGTCGATACGCTAAATAATTGATAATCGAAATAACCAATCGTTGATCGAAGTAATCGATATATCGAAATAATCGATATATCGAATTAATCGAAATTATCGATATATTTATCGATTTTTAAAAATTTTCAAAAAAATTGAAATGTTTTGTAAATTGAAAAAAGTGAATAAATCGTCAGTTGAAAATATCAATGTTCAAACGATGTTATAATTATTTAAAAATCGAGATATCGATTTTCGATTGTTTTTGAATATTCCATCACTAGAATCGTTGAAAAATATTTACATGAAAAATTCTTTTCGCTACAATTATTATAGGTGAGAAAATGCGTATTCATTTATATTTTTTTTTTTTTTGCCTTTTTTCGGACGGATAGAGAAATTTTTTTTTTGGAATTTGTGAAAAGCGTGTATTATTTATTAGAGTTTGCAAAGATTTTGTTTTTAAAATGTTTTTTTTTTTTTTTGCAATATTTTTTAGGCTTCTAAATTTTATTAAATATATTTTCTATAAAGAAAAATTTCTTTTTTTTTATCTCTTATATTTTTGTTCCGCGTACCTATACAGATTTTTTTTGTTCTTTTTTTTATACATATATATATATATATATACTTAGTCATTATGAAACAAAACAAAAAAAAAAAAAAAAAAAACATTAATATTAACAAACAGAGAAAAATAGAAAAAGAGACAAAAATTCTTTTTCTTATAAAAGAGTAAAAAAAATTAACAGCATCATAGTTAATTTATATAAGTTATGAAAATTAATTATTATAATTTGAAAAATTTTTTTTTTCTTCTAAATTTTTTACAAAAAAAAATTTTTTTTAATTACTTTTCGATGCCAAAAAGAAATTTAAAAATTAATTTCCTGCAAGGCGATCGATTATTATTATTGTTATTATTACTATTATCGATCGATTATCACTGTCGATCAATTTTTTTTTAAAAAACTTTTTACCATTTTTTTTGTCAATCATTTGCGTCGATCATTTTTTTCCGTCCCCTCAAAACTATTTTTCAAAAAAAAAAAAAGAAAAAAAATTAATTAATTAATTCAAGAATTTACAATCCATCTTTGATTTTTGACCAAAAATTGAGAAATTTACATTTAAAAAAAAAAAAAAATATTTGGTTTCCTTTTTTTAATTTTGGTTTCCTTTTTTTAATTTTGGTTTCCTTTTTTTAATTTTGGTTAATTGAAAATTTAAATTTTTGAAAAGTTTAAAAAAATTGAATCTAAAAGCAAAAAAAAGCAAAAAAAAAAAAATCAAAACCAAATAATTTAATAAAATAAATAAATAAATTTTAAATAGAAGAAAATATATAAATTTTTGAACATATTAAGGATTGTAAATTCCATTATCGTAATAAGTACAAAGGAAGCATTTTTTTCAAAATTTTTAATTTTTTTTTTTGGTTAAAACATGTAAACTTATCTATGATTCGAGGGAACGGAATCTTTTTCTTTTGTTTCTTTTTTTGGACTAGGACTTGGACTATGTGAATCGCTGCTTCGCGATCGTGATCTCGAGCTAGAACTCGAACTTGAGCTTGAACGTCTTTCAATGTGTTTTTCAATTAAGTGCTTTCTATCCCAAAGGGGGCCGCGAATTATTTTTAATGTTGTCTCCAGCTCGTAGGCCTCGTCTTTAAGTTGATTGTAGCGCACTAAATCGAAACCAACTTTTTTCGCCTTCTTGTGAAATCCAATGAGCAGTTGACGATGTAACGCTACCGGTAACATGTATTCCTTAAAAAAGAAAATCAGAATCAGGTATCTCAAGTCTCAACGGTCTCAATAGTCTCATGTCTGAATAGCTTCAAGTCTCAATAGTCTCAAGTCTCAATAATCTCATGTCTCAATAGTCTCAAGTCTCAATAGTCTCATGTCTCAATAGTCTCATGTCTCAATAGTCTCAAGTCTCAATAGTCTCAAGTCTCAATAGTCTCAAGTCTCAATAGTCTCAAGTCTCAATAGTCTCAAGTCTCAATAGTCTCAAGTCTCAATAGTCTCAAGTCTCAATAGTCTCAAGTCTCAATAGTCTCAAGTCTCAATAGTCTCAAGTCTCAATAGTCTCAAGTCTCAATAGTCTCAAGTCTCAATAGTCTCAAGTCTCAATAGTCTCAAGTCTCAATAGTCTCAAGTCTCAATAGTCTCAAGTCTCAATAGTCTCAAGTCTCAATAGTCTCAAGTCTCAATAGTCTCAAGTCTCAATAGTCTCAAGTCTCAATAGTCTCAAGTCTCAATAGTCTCAAGTCTCAATAGTCTCAAGTCTCAATAGTCTCAAGTCTCAATAGTCTCAAGTCTCAATAGTCTCAAGTCTCAATAGTCTCAAGTCTCAATAATCTCAAGTCTCAATAGTCTCAAGTCTCAATAGTCTCAAGTCTCAATAGTCTCAAGTCTCAAATCAAAAGACTATTGAGACTCGAGGCAGTTCCAATAGTTTTAAGTATCAATAGTCTCAGATCTCAACAGTCTCAATGGTCTTACACAAAATTTTTTTATAGATAATAAATTATCTACTATTTATTATTTTATTTATTATAATTTCTATAAAAAATTTTTATTAAAAATATTAATTTTTATAGAATTTATTTATATTATATATATAAAAAAATTTTTTTTAATATTAAAAAATTTTCTTATTCTCTAGAAAGGTGTGTGTTTTGAGAAGAAATGAAATTGATAAACTTACTTGTCTTGTTAGGAGAAAATAAACGTACCAAACTATCGCAGTTCCGTACGTGACAAAATATGTAACAGGCTCCATAATATCCCATGAGTATTCCCACCATGTTAGTCGTGCCAAAATTCCAAATTGCATCGACATTAATATTAAACCGGCCCAGGCTGATAAATTTGCCCTTTTCGCCGCAGCCATTTCAATTTCTAATTTTTGCTTTACAAAAACAAAAAAAAAATTATCAACATTAATAACAAAATAAATAAATTTTGATTTTTGTTTTACTAATAACGTTGATTTTTTGTGATTTTTAAATAGACAATATTGTTGTTAATTTTGTTTTTATATATTGTTGTTATTATTTTATTGTTATTTTTGTTATTGTTGTTGTTTTTATTGTTGTAATTTTGTTATTGATGTTATTTTTGTGGTTTATATTATTGTTATTTTTATTGTTGTTTTTATTATTAGTATTTTTGTTATTGTTTTTATTGTTGTCATTTTGTTATTATTGTTATTGTTGTTTTTATTGTTGTCATTTTCTTATTGTTTTATATTTTTGTTGTTGTTTTTATTGTTGTATTTTTGTTATTGTTGTAATTTTTGTCATAGTTGTTATTTTTGTTATTGCTGTTGTTTTTATTGTTGTAATTTTGTTATTGTTATTGCAGTTTTTATTGTAATTTTTTTATTGTTGTTATTTATGTTAGTGTTATTTTTATTGTTTTTATTATTGTTATTTTTGTTATTGTTTTTATTGTTGCAATTTTGTTATTATTGTTATTGTTGTTTTTATTGTTGTCATTTTCTTATTGTTTTATATTTTTGTTGTTGTTTTTATTGTTGTATTTTTGTTATTGTTGTAATTTTTGTCATAGTTGTTATTTTTGTTATTGCTGTTGTTTTTATTGTTGTAATTTTGTTATTGTTATTGCAGTTTTTATTGTAATTTTTTTATTGTTGTTATTTATGTTAGTGTTATTTTTATTGTTTTTATTATTGTTATTTTTGTTATTGTTTTTATTGTTGCAATTTTGTTATTATTGTTATTGTTGTTTTTATTGTTGTAATACTTTTATTGTTTTATATTTTTGTTATTGTTGTTTTTTTTGTTGTTATTTTTGTTATAGTTCTTGTTTTTATTGTTTATATTATTGTTATTGTTATTATTATTGTTGTTACTTTTGTTCCTGTTTTTATTTTTGTGATTCTGTTATTGTTGTTGTTTTTATAGTTTTAATTTTGTTATTGTTGATTTTATTGATGTAATTTTTTATTGTTGTTATTTTTGTTATTGTTGTTGTTTTTATTGTTGTAATTTTGTTATTGTTGTTTTTTATTGTTTTATATTTTTCTTATTGTTTTATATTTTTGTTGTTGTTTTTATTGTTGTATTTTTGTTATTGTTGCAATTTTTTTATTGTTGTTATTTTTGTTATTGCTGTTGTTTTTATTGTTGTAATTTTGTTATTTTTGTTTTTTTGTTTTTATTATCATTGTTATTGTTATTGTTTTTATTGTTGTTATTTTTGTTATTATTGTTGTTTTTATTGTTGTAATTTGGTATTGTTATTGTTGTTTTTATTGTTGTAATTTTTTTATTGTTGTTATTTTTGTTGTTTATATTATTGTTATTGTTTTTGTTTTTATTATTAATATTTTAATTTTGTTTTTATTGTATTTGTTGTAATTTTGTTATTGTTGTTTTTTTTTATAATCATTGTTATTGTTATTTTTTTTATTGTTGTTACTTTTGTTTTTATTATTATTGTTGTTGTTTTTATTGTTGTTATTTTTGTTTTTATTATTATTGTTGTTGTTTTTATTGTTGTTATTTTTGTTTTTATTATTTTAATTTTGTTATTATTATTGTTATTGTCTCACCTGTTCTAAAGGGTCCAATTCTAAATTAACAATTTCCAATTGTTCTAAAACTATTTTTTCCAAGTCCGCTTGATGCTCTCTAACATTAAGTGCATCATACATTGTTATCATTGTCTGAATATCAGATAATTGTTGTATTTTCTCCTAAAAAAAAATTTTTTTTTTTGTAAGAAAATTTGTTAAAATATAATAATATAAAAATATATACACATATATATATATATATATATATATATATATATATATAGGGAAAAAAAGTTACTTGCCATTGGTTTAAATTGATTAATTGGTGGTGTGACTGTGTAAACATTGTCATTAATAATTAATGTAAAATCCTCCTCTAATAGAGTCTCGATTGTATTACTCAAACCTATTCTTGTACCGTCTGTAAGAAATAGAAAAAAAAATTTTTTTTTTCCATTTTCATATAATTGAAATATATTTTTTAATTTAAATTTTTTAAAAAAATTTTATTTAATTAATAAACAATTTAATTAACAATAAATATATTAGTAAATAAATTAATATTAAATAATTAATTTGTCTGACAAATATGTTAATTATATAGAATAAAATTGAAAAAAAGATAAATTACCATTAGATTAATTAAATTAGATAAATTAATTAAGATAAATTAAATAATTTTTTATAAAAAATTTTATTTGTTTTCTCACCAAGGGTGGTAATTGTTGCTCTATCAATTCCTCGATCCTCGCATTTTAACATTTCGAGAAAATCGCCAACAGTATGTGTAATTGGTTTAAGGGTGAATAGACAACTTTCTCTTCTTGACGGTAATGGTACTTTAATTCTTGGAAGACCTCTATGATATTCGACTAGAACCTCGGCTGAAAAATGAAAAAAAATTTTTTTTTTTATTTATTCATTCCATAAAAAAGAATAAATAAAGAATTTTCAAAAAAAAATAAATAATGAGAATTCTTCATTACCGACCGCTGATAAAGAAGAATTCTTCATTACCGACTGCTGATAAAGAAGAAATCTTAATTACCAACAGTCGGTAAAATAGAAATTTAAATTATCTACTCAAATTTTGAAAAAATAAAATCATTTTCACTTAAAACTTATTATTTAAGGTTTTTGAGGTCGCTAATTACGAATTTGAAGTTATTTTCAAAATTCAAAATGGCGGATCCAAAATGGCGATAAAAAAATTTTTTAAACTAATTATATTTGCTTGAAACTTGTTACCTGGGGGGTTTTTCGGCTCGCTGATTACGAATTTGAAGTTATTTTCAAAATTCAAAATGGCGGATCCAAAATGGCGACAAAAAAAAATGTTAAAACTAATTAGATTTGCTTGAAACTTGTTACCTGGGGGGTTTTTCGGCTCGCTGATTACGAATTTAAAGTTATTTTCAAAATTCAAAATGGCGGGTCTAATATGGCGGAATTTTTTTTTTGAAAATTTATCCAATTTACTGAAAACATGTTCCCTGGGGGGTTTTTGGGGTCGCTGATTACGAATCTGGCATTAGATTTACAAAATTCATAATAGCGAATAAAATATTGTTAAATTTTTTTCTCTAATTCACTGTGTTTAGAAAAAATTTGTCTTTTAAAAAAAGAGAATATTAATAAAATCAATTAAAACATCATTAAAATGAAAAATGGACAATTTGTAGGCATATATATTTGTTTAAATAATTTTATATTATAACTTTTCTTCTATGATTAATTATTTTTCGTGAGAATTATTATTATTATTTTTTTTTTTTTTTTTTTTTATTTTATTTTGATATATCGTCTTGATGCAAAATAAAACAATGAAATGTTGTTATGATGTTTTACCAAGAAAAATTCTCGCGTGATAATCATAGACGCACAAACTATCGAGAGCTAGGCCGCATAACCTGGTTAAGAGTTTGTTGATATGAAGGAAAAGGTATTAGAGTGTGGCAACATCAGCGAAAATGAGTCGAATGGGACAGTAAGCAGGACGGAACCAAACACGATAATATAATTTCGACTATATATATATATATATATATATACAATGTGTGATAATGATAATATATAGTAACACCAAAATATGTCTCATATAATTAATTTATTGATAATAATTGAAAATTATTTTTTCCTTTAAAAAAAAATTAATTTTTTATATAAAATAAAAATAAAAAAAAAATAAATTCATTATAAAATAATTAAAATGAATTGAAAATTAAATTAAAAATTAAATAAGTACCAAAATTAAATTCATATTTTTTTTTTCAAAATTATTATTTAAATTTTTTTTCATTCTTCCTTTATTGAATTAAAAAAATAAAAAAAAAATAATATATTAAAATAGAAAAAAAATTAGAAAAAAAAATGTTTTTAAAATCTTTTTTATTAATAAAATAAAAAAAAATTTTTTTAAGAGAATTTTCTAATATAGAATAGAAATAAATTTGAATAATTTTTTTTTTTTTTTTTTTTTTTTTTTTTTTTTTTAATAAAAGTTGTATAATAAAATTTTTGTCATTTTTATAATTTTAAATATAAGCGGACAATTATTGCATAATGATCGGATGTAAAATAACGGAAGGATTTATGGTTTAGTGGGAATCAAGCAAATAGCAGCTCATTTCTTGCGCAATGGGCCCAAGAATGTGATACAAAAATATATATATATACATATATATACTATTCGTATAGCATGCAAATTTTATTTTGTTCTGGTTGAATAAATTAGATTGAAAAATCGTTAAAAAAATTTTTTTTTTTTTAAACGTAAACAAAAATAATTTTGTTGGATGCAATTTTTTTTTGTACACGAAAAAATAATGAAATGGTAAATTTTTTTTAATTACCATTTTACCCCTTATTGTTCAGTTACATGTTCACTTTCACCCCGTACACAGGTGTATTACCATACAATAAAACAAAGAGAATAAAATAAAAGATAAATTTTTTTAAAATTACCATTTTACCCCATATGTTCAGTTTTACCCCTTTACATGTTCATTTTTACCCCGTGCACACTGTTTTAGCTAACAATAAAATAAAGAAAATAAAATTTAATAAAAGGTAATTTCTTGAAAATTACTATTTTACCCCCTATGTTCAGTTTTACCCCGCATATGGTGCTTTACCTCAAAATTTACTAAAGAAAAAATAAAATAATGAAATAGTTAAAATTTTTTAAAAATTACCTTCCCCCCCCCCAGTTGAATGTTCATTTTTACCCCATATATATGGCATTTAACCCCAAAAATTGTAATAAAGAGAATAAAATAATGAAAGTTAATAATTTTTTAAATTTACTATTTTACCCCGTTTGTTTAGTTTTACTCAGTTCACTTTTACCCCGTATACGATGATATACCCCACAAATACAATAAAGAGGAATATAATAAATAAAAACGTAGATAAAAATTTTTATTACCACATTACCCCGTTTCTTTTGTATTACCTTGTTGAATATTCACTATTACCCCATATATGATGATTAAGCACAAAATTTTAATAAAGAAAATAAAATAATGATTAATAATGAAATTTACTATTTTACCCCGTTTATTTAATTTCACTCTGTTAAATGTGTTCACTTTTACCCCGTATATGATGATTTATCACATAATGTAATAAAGAGAATAAAACAACGAATGGTAATTTTTTTTTTAAATTACCATTTTGCCCCTTATATTTGTGATTTTACCCCCTAAAATATAAAAGAAAAAATAGGAAATTTCTAAAAATTACCATTTTACCCCGTTTACTGACATTTACCCCTATTTAATAATAATTTTGTCCTAAAATATAATAATATAATATAATTAATAATAAAAAAATATAATAATAAATAAAATAATTATTATTTTACCCCGTATGTTCAGTTTTACCCCGTATATAGTGATTTACAATAAATTATTTTTTTTTTCTAGAAAATTTAAATAAATTACTGGTACTATTGATAAATTATTATTATTATTATTATTATTAGTATATCACAATATACGGGGTAAAAGTGAACAATGTGATGGGGTAATATAAATATTTTAAAAAAAAGAGGCTTTATTTTGACCAATACTGCATTTTTCATTGTATGGAAGTGGCAAAATGAATTATAATTTTCTCTATATACACTATAAACACACATTCTCCACTAACACCTGCTACTTGTGAACCTTCTCGTGAAAACTTTTCACAGATTCATCAGTATGACGTGAGATCTTGTTCAATTAATAAGTTGCGCACATACTACTATTTTCAAAAAAAAAAAAAAAAAAAAAAAAAAAGAATAATCGCGTTATTTAAAATTGTTTCCATTTTTTTTTCATATCGAAAAAAATGTTTACGTATTTTCGGGAGTGATTTTTGTTTTTATTTTATTGACATGTTCCGGTAACAAGTGAAAAGGGATTTTTTCCCCTCACTATAGGTGTGTATATATTTTTTTAAAATATTAAAAAAAAAATTTTTAAACAATTTTTTTTTTTATTAAATAATAATAATATATCAATAACAATAATATTATTTTAATAATATAAAATAATAAATAAATAATAATAGTATACTAATAATAATAATAATAATAATAATAATAATAATAATAGTAATAATAATGAATTTTGAAAATTTGTGTCAAATGTGAGGGTAATTTAAAAAAAAAATTATTATTAATATTAGTAAAAAAAATGTACTTTTTTGTAAATTATAAATAAGATTTAAATAAATAATTAAAAGATTGAATATTTTATAAAAAATTAAATAATAATAATAGTAACAATAAAAATATTAGTAATAAAAAAATAATCATAATATAATAATATAAATACAGATTTAATTATTGTTGTTTAAAAATATAATAATTTTCAAAAAACAATTTGAATTTGAAAATAATAAATAATATGAAAATTAAAATAATTAAAATAGTAATACATAATAATAATAATAACATTAGGTACATTATTTACAATAATAAAAATAATAGTATTAGAAAAAAAAAATAGTTAAAAAAAAAGATTCATATTTTGTTTTCATTTAAAACGTTGGGTCAAAACCAAATGGTTAAGACCCTTTCTGGAAAAAGTTAACGTAGGAATTACTTTAGTTCTTTCAAACATAAGTGAACAGTGCTACGACACGAGTTTATATAGTCTTGAGATCGAATATATACTAGTGAGAGAATTTTAATTGGTCACGCACCTAACGTCATTTTGGAGAATTAATATGTTATACATTATCGATGCCAATCTACATTATCGACGAACGATATTAGTATTTTAAAAAAATATTTATCTGTTGTAGAAAATCTTATCCTACTTTCATAACACAAATTTTTAAATATATTTTTTTCTATATTTTTAACGAATAATAATAATAATAATAATAATAATAATAATAATAATAATAATAATAATAATAATAAAAATTATTCTTATTATTATAATAATAATTTATAATAAAATTAATATAATTATTATTATAATTATAGTAATATTTATATAAATTAATTAAATTAAATTAATTATATAACAATAATAATAATAAAAATTATTATTATTATTATTATTATTATTATATAATATTATATAATGTTAAATATTACAATATAATTTATAATAATATATAGAATATAATTATTGTTTATTATATTGTAAAAGACATTTAAAAATTAATTAATATTACTATTTAAATTAATATTTATGTAAATAAAAAATAATGGAATCGAACCATATTAATTATAATAATTAATAAAAAAAAATAAACTACTAACATTATTGATGATATTTAGTATTATAAACGTATTATATATTCTTTAGTATTATATACTATATTTTTTATAATTTATTATTTTTGTAATTATATTGTTCGAGTGAAGTGGCAAATATATATAACTTGAAATATTCAACTTGTTTATGAGTATAAAAAGAATGTCGCCACCATGCAGCAAGTAAATGAACTACTACGTAGTTTTCTACTTTATTATATGAAGATATAAAAAAAATGGTTAAAAAAAAATTGTTTTCATAAAAATTTTTGAAATGATTTTTTTTTTTACTTATTTTTTATACTTAAATTATTATTATTGTTATTTATTTTTTTTTTTTTTGCGTTTAATTTCAGATCGTATTATCGATCATGGGTGGTGCGCAAAGTAGTGGAACTCACAGTTTAGGCGACGCATTATGGGTTCACGAACGACAACGACAAAAATGTCATCGGTGAGTTTTTCTAATTAATTTTCTCTCGCATTTTTTACCCCCCCCCTCCCACCGACCCCCTCTCTCTTTTTTTCTTTGCCTCTCTCTATCTCTCGTATATTAATTAAATAGAAAAATAATTTTTAAAAACAGTGTCAAAAATAAAAATTTCCAAATAAAAAAAATTAAATAACAAAATTTTTTTTTTGGAAAATTAAATTTTTTTAAATTTTTCAAAAATTGAATTTTAATTTTTTAAATCTATTTAAAATAAAAACTAAACTAAAATTATTTAATTATAATTGAAATAAAAATTAATTAACTAATTTGTTAATTAAATTTAAAAAAAAAATTTTTTTTGAATTTTAATTTATTGAAATAAAAAATAATTAACTAATTTGTTAATTAGATTTAAAAATTTTTTTTTTTTTTGAATTTTAATTTAAAAAAAAAAAAAAATTGTGAAATAAATTTTTTTTTTAAATCGCCACACGACCCGATTTGTAAATGAAGTTAATTTCAAATAGGAAAACTGATTCCTTGTGAGGTAATAATAATAATAATATATTTAATACTTTCGTATAGATACGCTTATTAACGCGGTCTTGGTCTAATTGCAATATTGTTCAATTTGGACTTCATTGTATATATCCGTTTGTTTTAATTCGCGTGTTGCGTTTCAATCAAGTAATATATTGTGTTCGTCAACCTACTTAAAAAAAAATTTTAACCCCCCCCCCCCTCTTCCTCTAAATTATAGCTTTTTGATAAATTAAAAAAAAAATATTTTTATCCTTTTAACTATTTTATTTTATTATTGTATTATTTTATTACTATTTTTTATTTTATATTCCCCCCTTAAATTTTGAATTTTTGGTCCCCCTTTAAAAAAATATTTTTCTAAAATTTTTATTTTCTAAAATTTTTTTTTTAGCCCCCCTATAATTGTTATTTTACCTTTCCCCCTGTTTTGATTAAATAACTTTTAGCCCCCCTCAAAAAAATTTTTTTTTTTTAAAATTATTTTTTAGCCCCCCTAAAATTATTATTTAATCTTCATTAGCCTCTCCCTCTTCTAAATAGGTGTTGATTTTTTAAACCCCCCTACAAATGTCATTTTAGCTTCTCCCCCCAGTTTATATTAAATAATTTAATTTTTTATCCCCCCTCAAAAAAAAAAAAAATTATTCAACTTTGCCCCCTCTATTAAATATTTTTTGAATTTTTTAGCCCCCATACGAAGAAAATATTTCTGTGAAATTTTTTTTGTTTAAAAATATTTTTTTACACCCCCCCCCCTACAATTATTATTTCATATATTTAAACTTCCGTAACCCCTACTAAATAATTTTTAATTTTTGAACTCCCTTAAAAAATTATTTACATAAATTTTTTTTTTTGGTTTTATTAATTATTTTTTAAGCCCCTCGCCTCCCCTTAAATTATTATATTATATTTTTCAACCTCGGTCCCCTAATTATTAATTTTTAAACCACATAAAAAAATATTTAAATGCAATTTTTTTTTTGGTTTTAAAAATTATTTTTTGTGCCCCCCCCCCAAATTATTGTTTCATTTTCTTTCCCCCTCCACCTACCAAATAAATTTATTTTTTAAACCCTCCATTGAAAAAAATATTCATAATATTTTTTTATTTTAACAATTATTTTTAAGCCCCCTCCCAAAAAAAAATTAGTTATTAATTCCCTCTACCCTCATTTTTATATATTTAAATTATTTTTTATTAGAATATTAATAATTTTTAATTTAATTATTAAATTATTCTTAATTTTCCTTTTTAGCGATATGATTTTAATTGTCATATTTTAAATTGAACAAACATAGATTATTTATTATAATTTTTTTTTTATAATTAATGAGTTTCCGCCTTTTCTCTTTCCTCTTTAAATTTTCTCTGACGAACAAGTTTATAAATGGATTTATTCTGAGGTGTGAGAAAATGTTTTCAGATTATTTATACCTTCCTCGATTGTTATTCTAATTTATAAGAATAAATCTTACAAAATATTTCACAAAAATTTGTGTTTTTTTCTTGTTTTTTTTTTGCACGGAAAATATATGAAAAAAAAATTTTTCAAATTTCACAGGAAAACAAAATTTTTTTTTTTAATTTTTTACTTTTTTTGGTGCAAACCAAATTTTTGGTAAAATCAAATTTCTGGTAAATGCAAAATATTTGGTTTTATAATACTGGTACAAACAAAATTCTGGTACAACCAAAATTCTGGTACGGCAAAAATTCTAATAATACCAGAATTCTGGTACAATCCAAATTCTGGTATAGTTAAAATTCTGGTGCTACCAGAATTATAGTACAATAAAAATTCTGTTGCAACCAAAATTGTGGTACAGGAAAAATTCTAATACTACCAGAATTCTGGTCCAATCAAAAATTTTGTCTAGTTAAAATTCTGGTGCCAGAATTATAATACAATAAAAATTCTGGTACAACAAAAATTCTGGTACAACAAAAATTTTAATGATACCTGAATTCTGGTACAAACCAAATTAATGTACTTTTTAATTTATGGTACTACTAGATTTATGGTAAAATAAAAATTCTGGTACAACAAAAATTGTGAAACAGGAAAAGTTCTAATAGTACCAGAATTCTGGCACAATCAAAAATATGGTATAGTTAAAATTCTGGTGCTACCAGAATTATATTACAATAAAAATTCTGGTGCAACGAAAATTCTGGTACAAAAAAAATTTTAATGATACCTAAATTCTGGTACAAACCAAATTAATGTACTTTTTAATTTCTGGCACTACCAGATTTATAGTACAATAAAAATTCTGGTACAACAAAAATTGTGGTAAAGGAAAAATTCTGATGGTACCAGAATTATAGGACAATCAAAAATATGGTATAGTTAAAATTCTGGTGCTACCAGAATTATATTACAATAAAAATTCTGGTACAACGAAAATTCTGGTACAAAAAAATTTTAATGATACCTAAATTCTGGTACAAACCAAATTAATGTACTTTTTTATTTCTGGTACTACCAGATTTATAGTACAATAAAAATTCTGGTACAACAAAAATTGTGGTAAAAGAAAAATTCTGATGGTACCAGAATTATAGTACAATAAAAATTCTGATACAACCAAAATTGTGGTACAGGAAATATTCTAATAGTACCAGAATTCTGAAATAATCAGAATACTGGTATAGTTAAAATTCTGGTGCTACTAGAATTTTATTACAATGAAAATTCTGGTAAAACCAAAAATGTAGTACAGTAAAAATTTTAATTGTACCTGATTTCTGGTACAAACCAAATTAATGTACTTTTTAATTTCTGGTACTACCAGATCTATAGTACAATAAAAATTCTGGTACAACAAAAATTGTGGTATATGAAAAATTTTGATGGTACCAGAATTCTGGTACAATCCAAATTCTGGTATCGTTAAAATTCTCGTGCTACCAGAATTATAGTACAATAAAAATTCTGATACAACCAAAATTGTGGTACAGGAAAAATTCTAATAGTACCAGAATTCTGATACAATCAAAATTCTTGTATAGTTAAAATTCTGATGCTACTAGAATTATATTACAATGAAAATTCTGTTAAAGCCAAAATTGAGTTACAGAAAAAATTTTAATTGTACCAGAATTCTGGCATAATACAAATTATTTGGTAGAATTAAAATTCAGGTGTAGAAAAAATTTAATTATACCAAAAAAATCATTGCAGTACCAAATTTGGTTCAAATGTACCAGAAATTTATTCTAAGGAAAAATTTCGTTGTATCAAAAAATTTTATAATACCAAAAATTTTAATGTTTTACCATTTTTATTGTACTAAAAATTTGAATGTACCAGAAATATTTTTGTGTCATAATTTTTTTTTTCTAAAATCAAAATTTTGTACCAAATTTGTATATTTTTTTTTAAAAAAATTTTTTTAATATCAACAAATTTTTTAATACTGTCAAATTTTTTCAGTCACTGTGAAAATCTGGTACAATATTAATTTTTGATATGAGGAATAATTAATTTTTCTTTTAAGATTTGAAAAAAATGATTTTGCCTTGTAAAAGAAAAATAATAAAATTCATTCAGCAAAAAGGAAATTCTTTTTTTTTGATTTATGATAAAACTTAGAGATGGAAACAATTGGAAAAGCAAATAATCCTCGGGAAAACTTTGTCGAGTTGATGTTAAACTTTCGCCTAGGGTTCTTGGGTGAAAGCGTATATACATATATAAAAAAAAAAATCTCTGAACACTCTCGGCCACATTCAATGTGTAAATTGGAATTTAGGCATTTTAAACATATAGTTGATTGCTTTATCAACAAAGAATATAATTAATTACAATTTTAAAAATATATTTCCTCAAAGTAAATTTGTACTTGAAGATAAAAAAAATTGCAATTAAAAATTAAATTAAAAGCAAATATTTGTAAAAAAAAAAATTCTGGTACAGAAAAAAATGATTGAAAAACATAATAATCAATGTCCAATGTTTCGTGATACAAAATTTGCAATATTATTTTTAAAAAGAAAATAGGAAAAAAAAAATTCTAAACACAAATTTTTGATATTTTTTTGGTTCTACCAGATTATTTTTTGATACCAAATTGGTACCAAATGTGTTGTAGAAATTAATTAATTATATCAAAAAAAATCTGGTACTTATAAATAAACCAGAAACAAAAAATTAATCTGGCACAAAAAAAAATTTGGTACAGAAAAATCTGGTACAATTATGGTACCAAATTGATACAAAATGTGATAAAAATTAATCAATTATACCCAAAAAAAATCTGGTACTTATAAATAAACCAGAAACAAAAAATTAATCTGGCACAAAAAAATTTGGTACAGAAAAATCTGGTACAATTATGGTACCAAATTGATACAAAATGTGATAAAAATTAATCAATTATACCCAAAAAAAATCTGGTACTTATAAATAAACCAGAAACAAAAAATTAATCTGGCACAAAAAAAATTTGGTACAGAAAAATCTGGTACACGA